GACAAAGTTTTAGACCCAGACGTTCTCAGAATACGCAGTGGATTTGGTTGAGCTAACGGAGGTAAGTGTTGCAGCGTGTGTATCTGTTAGACGGGTGTTTTAGTTACAGTGCGTCACCCTCCCTCCCTTCCAAAATGAAGCTCAGCTACTTCTTGCCGAACTTCTTTACTACGCGCAACCCTGGGTCCAGCACTCAAAATACTATACATGAACATGACAAAAATTGTAACGTTTGAGAACTGTTTCCACAAGCATGTCAAAGTGCTGACTGCACGCCACTGCTCAACGAGCTCACATGACTGCGCAATCATAACGCTACTTAGCCTATATATTTGCGAGCGTTACCTGTACAATATGAAACCTCACGGAGAGGCCGGAAGAGATGTGGATTCACATGCAGTGCAGGCACACCGATGCAACGGGTTCTGCAGTTGCTGCATGATTATGAACCAGCAGCAGAATGTGGGGATAGTATCTGACCCTTTCACGCTGGTAACTATATGTACCAACTGCTATAGAATTAAAAACCTGATTCTAACCACACACTTCAAAACACAGGGGACGCAATGTGCTTAGTGTAGGCTTCCAGTTGGCAGACTGCTGGTGTGAACCGCGCGCCAAACGCTGTGAGGCGCCGTTACCCTTACATGTAACGGACAGACATATGTCACCTTATGAAAGATACGAGAACAAACGGAACTTAACCACCGACAGAAGGTGTACTCTACGCGTATTACAAATACTGCTAAAACAGTTAATCGCAACATGGGATACCGTGACGCGATGCTCTTTTGAACACGACCAGCAGCCATCGGTTTCTGGGAGCACCGCTGTCTAGAACTGGGCCAGAACAGCGACGGGCTGGAACGCCCGGTTTCGAATCCCGGTAGAGTGAACTTTTTTTCTATTCTCCGCAGCGTCCAGGCCAGCTCTGGGGCCCACCCAGCCTCCTATCCAATGGGTACCGGGGGCTCTTTGCCCGGGTATAAAGCAGCCTGGGCGTGAAGCTGACCACTCACATCCGTCTAGTGCCGAGGTCAAGAATGCTGGAGCTATACCTCCACTCCCCCCATGTCTTCATGGTACAGTGCCTAACTAAGGAAAGGGGCAACTTTACCTTTTACCTTTTCATCTCTGTCCAGAATATCTTCGATGTTGCGTTGTCATAAACACAAACATTACATAAACATAAACGTTCCTGGCCGCGTGTAGGATGGTGTTCGTTTGCGTCGCCCGTAAACAGTGACCCCAGGGCTCATCATGGGAGACCTCTCTGAAGGCCATTTTCCACTGAGGTACCATCAAATATGTTTTCCACAGAATCTGCTTAACAGCACTTAAAAAAAATCGTGGTTTTAGTCTGCAAACGAACTATAGCGACCGAGCGACCGCCGCTTGTCGGCCAAGTTAGTGCCAACTTTAGCGGATAGAGGGTGTCGCGTGATCAGAGCAACGAATAGCCACGGCTATAAATTTCGGGTTTCTAGACGGGAGCCGCTATTTCCTTGAAAAATAGCTCCTCAATTATCCTCATGAAGCTGAGTGGACCCCGTTCCATACCCACTACTTATCAGAAAAAATCTGGTAGCGTCGGGAATCGAACTCTGACCACTAGACCACAGAGGCGGTCGCATGTTAAGTTTATGAAATATTACCTGTCCCTGTTATCTCACGGAGCAGCAAAATTTATCTGCAAATAAACACAGATTAGATAAATAACTGAGGGGCTGACTAATGGCTTTAGTATTTAACCCTTTACAGCACAGTGGTAACTATAAGAACCAGCTGCTTTAACGATAAAAAACGCTGCATTCTGCCCGCACAGTATAGCTATTGTGTGTACCGTATGATTCTCTCAAAAAATAGAGAGTGTTTCCCTAAACTGCATGAACCGGTTTGGTTGTGTAGTGGAATGTTTTCTGTGAAGCAGAAACTTAATTCATAAATACTATTTGTATACACCTCGGGCTTCGAAGCCGTGCCTCTGCGCCGCCATGGACAATAACCAACTCCCTCGAGCTGAGTCCATTGGAAGCTAATGAACTGCCTTAGCCCACAAAACACTGGGATCGTGTGTTCGAATCCCACTCGAGGCATGGATGTCTGTGTGCGTTTATTCTGTGTTGTTCCGTGTGTAGGTAGCGGCCTTGCGACGGGCTGATCCCCCGTCCAAGGAGTCATACCGACTGTATATGGATTAGGAAACTGAAAAAAAGCGGCCAAGTTCCACAAGGGATGTAGAGCCACAATTGATTTATTGATTGACGGATAGATTTACGCCTGGGTGCTCCAGATTCCAAGTACCCCCCCCCCCCCTCCCTATGCCCCTATCTACGGTACATCGTAAAGCAGTTACAGTAAACGGGCAGTGCCACAGCTCAGGTGGTCAGGCACTGGCTTCCCGCCGCAGAGCCTCGAGTTCAGTCCTGGGTAACTTCATGTCTGATTCGTGATGGACCACGAGGCACGGAAACAGATTTTCCCCTGCGCATTATCATGGCAACATTCCTCCACATTCACCTATCACCAGGACATGAGGCGTGCGGCAGTCCTGACCGGGCGGAACATTATCATATCCTCGGTTTTTAAGTTCTGGGGCTTCGTCACCCGTCACGCGCCTGGTCACTGTTTCTCATTACAGCGCACTCTGGGTTATTCGCCTACTGGAGCTGTGATCTCCTGCCTCACGCCGGCTCTGTACTGGCCGACAGTCACCCCATTCTCACACGAAGTTCAAGTCACAACAATGGCATTACACCACGGTAACAATTACTCAGCTCTTTTAACAATTCAAAGTCTTGTTTCGGCAATCACCATACATTCACTCCCCGTTGTGCTCCATCCGTTATCTTGTAACGGTCAAATGTGTGACGTAACGGTTATCACTTTTAGAACCGAGCTAGCTGGTGTACCGATAAAGCTCTTGGCTCGTTTTCTGGAGGTACTCGGCTCGAATTCCGGAGTATTTTCACGAAAATGCCAAGATAGTACTTCGTTTCCTTACAAATCCTTGAAATTTATCTCTCATTCTAACACTCCATGCTATACGGGTGTCCAAGGAGGAAAGGTCAATATTCTTGGAGGTCACAGTATCGGTCACTACAACCAAAAAGTGTATATGCACATGTGTTCTATTCCGAACGGTTTCCGTGATAGAACTATTTCACTGTACACTTCCAAAGTTGTTGATAAGAAAAATATATTACATACCGTTTCTAATAAAGTAAAAGTAAAGTTGGCCCTGTAAACAAACTCTGTGGCCTGTAGTCCTCAAGCGAATTGTACCGACCGAGCGACCGCGGCTTGTCGGCGAAGTTAGTGCAAACTTTTGCGGCTAGAGAATGTCATGTGGTCAGCGCAACGGATCCCCACGGCCGTTAATCTCAGTTTTCTAGACCGGATCCGCTATTTCCTTGAAATAGCCCCTCAATTATCCTCACGAGGCTGAGTGGACCCCGTTCCAAGCCCCACTACTTCTAGGAAAATCTGCTAGCGCCGGGAATCGAACCCGGACCTCTGGATCTGTAGCCAGGAACTCTGACCACTAGACAACTGAGGCAAGTTGGCCCTGTGCTTCACTAGTTAAGCACAACTCCATGAAAGCGTATGTGGTAAGTGGATGTACAGATCCATATTTTCTTGACCTAGGCACTATCTGGAGGTGAGTGGTTAGCTTCACGCCCAAGCCGCTTTACCCTCGGGGAAACAGCCCTCGCTACCCATTGGGTAGGAGGTTGGGTGGACCCCAGAGCCGGTGTGGACGACGTGGAGAAAATTCTTGACCCTACAGGGACTCGAACTCCGACTCCTTGGTCGTCCAGCACGTAGCTAGTCGTTATACCGACTGCGCTATCCTGACCGGTGTTTACTGTTCAAGTGACAAAGTTGGTACAGTTTACCTAGCATAATACATATTCGAAAATTCCACCATCAACATCAATGCACGTTGCAACTCGTGTGAGGACATGGCGTGTTGCTCTCTGTATAAGTACAGTGTACAGTGTACTGTACAGTGAAATAGCTACTATATCTCGGAAACCGTTCGGAATAGGACACATGTACATATACAATTTCTTTCTTAGAATAACCGCTACTATGACCTCCCAGAATATTGACCATTCCTCCTGGGTCACTCTGTATAGTCTCCATACCAAACGCCACTCCTGCAACGGAAACGTGTGTCGGCGACTTGAAACCCTGGCAGGATCTCCTATTGAATTCGAGCGCCGTATAACTACTTGTCACTCTCCTATACTAAGTTCCTTCGAACGTTCTGCAAATTTCTACTGGAGTGTACGGTGTCACAGACGATAGTACCCAAACTCACCACTCGGCGTGCCTCATACCCAATCCGTGTTCGGGTGTGAGGTCCGGTAAGACGGCCAAATAGGCAGTAAGTAAAGGCATAGTAATTGGAGTTAAATGCGGTACGAGGGGCATACAGGCACGACTCGACCGGACAGTACGTCCATGCATCCTGCGCCGCTACCTCGGGCCTTCGACAGCCCCCCCACTAAGCCCAAATCATCGTCTATTGGACGTAAATAAACAAAACTCAACATTAGGCCAGGAATTGGCGGCAACTTTCGTGGAAACGCAAAATTTGGTCCTCTGCTTAATCTGTCTTACTATATATGGATTTGTACATATTTCTTGCTAGTCTCTTTTTGTTTTTATAGGCAACTGACGTTTCCCCGAGAACTGCATATAACATTTCTCTAATTAGAATTCGATTTCTTTGGCAAATAGCCACTATAAAGCCCATATTCACGCGTCATTTTGAGACTTTTTCAGTTGCGACTTGTTTCGAATGGGAGTCGACGATAAGAGTGCCATATCGTCAAAATGGAACGATTTTAGGAACCAAATTATAGCCTTCGGGGTAATTTTGTCTTCCTTTGCTACGTATAACGAATTGGGCCAAAAATTGTAATTACAGTGTGCTTGCTAGGACATGACTTCCTTCACCGTCCTCTTAGTCAGCCATAAGATTCACTTACCTTTAAGATGATGATCACACGACAGTCACAAGTAGTCAGAAGGCGTTGATGCATACAGCACACTGCATGTGTTCACTCGCAAAAAACAGTACTTTAGTTTGGTCAGTTACAGCTTTCTTGGAGCAGAATGAAAGAATGTAAGTACCAGTTCCAAGGCCGGTGACATCATCTTTCACTTCGCAGTCTACGCTTCTCGTTCAACCAGCCCACACCAGATTAACGTCCTTCTTAAACCAAACCCGGGTTCCCTTTCCTTCACACAGAATACACGCACATTTGTCTCACATTCATATAATGGACAATATCTTCTTACAAGCATAATGTGTCAGTTGGCTTCATCGCGTGCTTGCCGCCCACACGGCCTGTACTGACCATCCCACCCAACTCGCAACTGGTGGCCAACTGAACAAGGGATCAAGCAGTTCTTATCTACGCGAGAAACACTCCCCCCACCTCAGCTCATGATCAACTGCTGCGGAGTCGCGCTTCGTGTCGCTAGCATCTCGACGTGTTGTCGGCGATCACACTGGCGATTGGTGATTACCTCGAGATCCAGCTGTCTGACTCCTATCAAAATCTTCCTCATTATTTGGTAAAAACAAAACTATAAATCTGTGAAGATTCTGGAATTTGGCCCCAGGTCACGGCATTTCACATGAAGTTATTTTCTCAACTACTTTAATTTCTCACAAAAGTTGGTTTAGTTTTGTTTTGTTGTCACCAGTCGCCGTCTGGTATTGAACGCCGTGTTTGGTTCCTACTTTGAAGTCATCTTACGGGCAAGGAATTTGTACAGCGTACAACCAGACTCGTAAGCTATTGGGCAAGAGGAGTATTTTCGGCACTTGCTGATTGCTGTTGGAGTTTCGTATGTATTATAGTATTAAGTTCGTCCTTACATGTTGTGCTTGTTCATGTGTTTTGTGCTTTGTTTACAGTAAACACATCAAACTGTTGTATTTTAGGCTCCGAATAAGGTGATATGACGCCATGCATTTTGTTAGAAGTTTACAGACGCTGCAGAAGATCGTGTTACCTGCTCCTTGTGCGTCTATGGCTGAGGGCACACCTGGGAAACTGGCAACCGCAACGCAACTACAATTTCCGAGAAATGTCGCCGATTTCAAGCAGGCAACTGGTTTCCAGATTAGCACGCGCACACTAAGGAAACTTATGTTTGATTAGTTGCTCACATCATCTTAATTGGGTATGTTCGCCCCACGTAATGCATGATTGATTTCTTAATTTCGTGCAGTTACTTCTACAATGGAAGATAATAATACTGATCCTATCATAATGTAGTGGTGGTTGAGACCGGTTGAGATGGCGTGAAAAGAGAGGACGACGACCTTAAGGAAAATATTGGGATGTTAATTAATTTGTTATTAAGGTAAGTTTATTTTAATCAGAAAATACCGCATTCACACTTAATACGAAATTCTGACATACAGTGCAACAATTTTAGTGAGAGAGAAGACACCTGATGATGGCCGTATACAGCCGAACCATGTAATGTGGAACAAGGGTGAGACTATAAGTTGTATTTAAAACGGAAATATATGTGAAATAAATGATATATAAATGCAACAGGATGTTTAAGTACAATATTAGGAAAACATTGGGTGCATCTTTTCTTCTGTGACAATTTAAACGAAGGCGCTTATATTGTTTCAAAAGAACTTAAACTGCAGACTCCTTTGTCTCATGAGAAATACTTTCCCATGCCAAATCCATTTTGTCCTGCCAGGCACAGTCTGGATGTTGTTTGTCATACATACCAGGCTCTTCCTCAATGAACTGCACAAAAACAAATTAAGCAGTTTCATCAACCTTTAGTGCCATCTCAAGAAATAATCACTGATGTGCGTTATACAACAGCTGACACTAGGAAACCACGCGGCAACGCAATTATGAAAAGACTGGCATGCTCTGTTGCCTGGAAGTCGAGTTTCTCAGTCTTTCCGTGAGTTGCATTGCCATTTCCTCAATTTGTGCTGCTCCATTCAGTAACACATGCTCAACTCAGGCTGATAACAGTTCTCGGAAATTGCAGTTGCCGGTTTCCTTGGTGTGCCCTCGCCTGAAGACAGAGTTTTTCAACTTTTGTCAACTGAGAGCACGCTGAACAAGGTGCTAAAACTGCCAAGGCACACCACTATTTTCGGGACAGATTTTATCATTAGAACCGAGCAGTAAGATCATATTTTAAATTTCTAATAATTGTGTTATTCTTAGAAAACGATGTTGATCGTGGATTTCAAAGATTCTATTTTGCAAATTTCTTCTGGCTTCTTTTTGACCTTCCCCCAAACTGCCATGGCACACCTGTGGACAAATCGCGTCATACTGCACACCGGTTGAAAATCACTGGTCAAAGATATGCTAAACAAGCAACGAGCAAGCAGAGCTCTGTTTCAACTGCAACCTACTTCATGCTGGTTTCCTTCTTGGCTTATTCTACGACTTCCGAAACGTTGGTGGACTTCCACGGCACCACACGGCGTAATATCCCGCAAGATAGTACCTTTAACATTATAAATTGTTTAGCAGAAAACGGCACTGGAAGTTGATAACTCTTGAGTTCATGCCTTTGAATTTTCTATTTGAAGATAATTTCTGATGTATTTACTACGAGCATGCATGAAGAACATAATCTGCATCCCTCCAGAGAGGTCTGATTGGGTGGGCAGTTATTTATTGGGGATGGGGGGAGGGGTCACAGACTGTAGATGAAGGCTTCGTTCAAACTGTGTCAAGAATCAGCTTCATTCCTTTGTGGTTTATTTTACGATGCTGTCGATATTATGATACACGATGTATCATTGAATGATAAGATGACTTGCCAATAATGATTTTGGAAGGATGTGAAAGCAAACAATCCCAGCATGTGCATGGAAAAACTGAGGGAATCTCAGGATAGTCACCATCTCGTCCAAGATCTGAACCCACCGAATTCAAGACTAGATCGTACGACTAAATCACATGGCAATTCTGGTCCTGTATGACATACTGTTCAGTGTCTAGCTGATCTACATGATGGGGCTAACTGGCACTAGCGGTAACGTTTCTCACTTGTATTTGGGAGGTGCCTGGTTCCATCTCGCCCGAAACACTGACGGTCCTCACTGAGGTGTTTTGCATTTTCCTAAGTTCCTCCAGGCGAATGTCAGGATAATACCTCAGAATAAATCATGACTGGTCCCTTCCACATTCCTTCCAGTGTATTCATGAATCAAACTACTCCAAGCAGTACAAGAGATTCCAATGGTGAAGGTGTGTGTCAGGAGAATTCTGAGGAATCTGTTAGTTAAATTTGAATACTGTATTTACGCATGTATAGGCCGTGTGCGTGTATAGGCCACAGCACAATTTTCAGACAGAAATTATAGAAAAAATAATTTTCTTGGAATATTATTTCAGGAGTAGAAATTATTACTATTACTGTATTACTAATTATGAATATAATTTTTTTTAAATGAAGTGTGATTTCGAATATAAGCCGCACCCCAGTTTTCCTCTTGAATTTTTGGCAAAAAATGTGCGGCCTATACATGCGTAAATACGGTAACTGCAGAGTAATACACTTGCATGAAAGATTTTAATTTTTAAGAACCGTTTCTGCATTTTGACACGATTATAATTTACAGTTCTGTGAGTCTAAATGTAAGGGTCTCTCTTCATGGGACTGGAGAGACATCTGTGAAGAAATTGCTGCTCCCCAGGTGACAGGGTAGAGCATCAAGGATATCCACCCTCCTGTATGAAACCCACGAGAAGCCCATCAGATTGACTGAGCAAGGAGCACCTTGGAAGGATCTACCATCACAATGCACAGACCCTGCAGAGGTGTGTACCAAGTCTGATGCTAATACTGGGCAATGCTTGGGAAGCAGATATTGGATTTCTCATGTCTGTCTACAAGTAACAGTACCAAAATTACAAGATCAGTTTTGTTCATGGCATAAGACTTGAGGTTACAGTGGCAGCAAAAGTAAAGTCTTCTGGTAGATTCTAAAGCGTTCTAACAATGGTGGATGACGCAGAATTACTGGTGTTTTTGACTTTTTCCATCGTCTGGAATTCTAGGTAATAGAGGACATGACGTTTCGGAAACTGGATCTGTTTCCTTCTTCAGGTGAGAAAGGAAGACACCTACTCAGTTGGGCACAAGTCCAAAGAGGCCCACTGACTTTCCCCTCCCTGAAGCCATCCATGATCCAGAGTCTTCTCTCTCATCTGCAAAAAGGGGGGGGGGCACAATCTTAACATCCACGTCACATATCATGCAACAACTCCTTGCTGCCCGCCATCTTTTAAGTACCTCACTACACTGGAGGCACAAGTCCGTCTTCAACTCGACACTCAACTTGCACCTCCAGTATAAGTGGGTCCTGATGATGGCATCAAAAAGTTGTCCTGAAACATATGTACATACACAGCAAAATATTATGACACTGCAACAAAATGCACTTCCCAAACATTCATTATACAGTCTAACCCAGTGTTTCCCAAGTGATGTTCTGTAAGAAACTTCCATTACAGCATAATTAAGATAATTAAATATGCCACTTTCAACTGAAGTGTTTTTACCTCAGCAGAATGCTTTACAAGGCGTGCAATTCAGTTGACACCCTTCGCCATAACTTTCTTGAATTATGCACAAATGCATTATATGCTGTGCCAGATAGGAGAATTTAAATTACATAATATGTTGGCCTTGTAACCTTATGTATTACTGTTCTATAAAAATATTTGGTTGCAAACAGGTTCCATGGTCAACTCAAACTGGGAAACACTGGCGTGCCCTATGCTCATACTGCTCCCTAGCATGGGAAAAATGGGCCAAACTATCTGACTCAACACATTTTTCTATTATTTCAACAGAAATGGACCAGGTTTAAAAACTCTTTAACTCTCCTCTATGTAAATGTAAAAATGAAGCCCACCTCACCCTCTGTCATATTAAAAATTCTGATAACCGACAACTCACCTCTGACTAGTGCTGAGGTAAAGAAAAGGTGGCAAATATTCTTCATTTCATGCATCCTGTTGTGTTACAATACATAACTTTATTTTTCTGTCACAACACAACTAAGGAGTATTAAGGTCAATACCCAGCTATGCCTCACTACATGTTTCGGCCATTAACGGCCATCATCAGGTGAATACAAATCAACAAACATATACTACTGAACTGTGATAAAAGTAGATACAATGACAAAAATAGTTAATTCTTTTGTGTAAAAATACAATGGTCATTTATATATAAAACTGAAGGTTATAATATAAAATAAGATTAACATTGATGTTTTATAACATCTAATCAGTCGTATGTTTACTTTATAAGTTCCCTGGACAAAAAAAAAATATAAGTATATAAGATGGTATTGGAGGACCATGACGTTGCAAGTTAATTAATCTGAAAATATATAAAAAAAAGGAATAGTATTAAATATGTTATTTGAATATTTAAATTGAAGCTGTGGTATGTATAATATATGTACTTACAGAGTAGAGGTGCCTCATCATATGAAATAAAATGTCTGTACTGTATGAGGAGTAAACAACGACTGATTTGTTGATGTAAAATTAAAGTTGACTCAAAGGAAGGAGAGGGGGGGGGATAAGGTATATGGGAAGTGAAAGTAAAGAGAGAGGGGGGAGAGTAACTGGATGTTATGTTTTGGTAGTATTGATTATAACATCGTATATGGGGTTGAACATTTTGGTAAAATTATCATTCAGTTGTAAATTTTGTTTAGTGATTTCATACATATGAAATCTTTTGTATGTATCTAAAGTTCGGCCTTTCTTGCCGATATATAAAACTTCCAATGTTCTATCGTATTATAATCATGCATAGTATCTAAAATATGTTGTGCAAATTTAGAATTTTGTCCATTATTTTTTATATCATGTATGTGTTCTTTGAATCTGATATTAAATGTACGTCCGGTTTGTCCTACATATTTCAATGGACAGTTAGAACATTGTAGTTGGTAAACCCCACTGAGATTATACAGATCATTTTTGTCATCTTTAATTTTCAATAGATGTCTTATATTGTTTTTTGTCTTATATGAGATACCAACTTCAGTGTTCTTGAAAAGTTTTGTGATTGGACTAATTTTGTGGCCAAAATAGGTGAAGGTGGCCCATTTATTTTTTGGCATACTATTTTTAGTGGAGGGTTTTTATGTTAACTGTATAGTATTTTGTGGATAGTTATTATTATTTAAGATAGTTCTAATAATATTTTCTTCTATATTTTTATTATTTTGTGTAAGAGGATAATGATTTAATCGGTTTATGAGAAAATTTATAGCTGTTTTTTAATGTTCAAAAGGGTGACATGAATCATTATGAATGATTAAGACGGTAGTTGTAGGTTTTCTGTAGATAGTTGTAGATATATTATGAACTTTTTCTATAGATATATCTAGGAAATTGATCATACTATTTGTTTCTTTTTCAATTGTGAATTTTATGTTGGAATGGATATTGTTGAATTCATATAACATATTTTCGATATTGGTTGTATGGGAATTACATATGATCAAAATATCATCTACATATCTAAAATAATCTATTATATGGTATTTTATCAGAATATCTATAATAATCTTATGTTCGAGGTATTGTATAAATACTTTGGTATATTGCTGATTGTAACAGCTATCAGAATTTTTCTCAGAACTTCAGTTTACAAAACCTCAACATGAAGCCAACAATCAACACTGTACAGCACTCACGGCTGTTACTTGAATTCCTCATGGTTCATGAATGGCGAGACACACTCCCTCCTCAGTCTGTAGTGCAGCTGGTGTGGGTGGACTGCCTGGATGCCCCTGGCTCAGTGTGTCAACATCCCATCTCTTAGAACAGCAACATCTTCACTCATGTCTGTCCAGGAACACTAGTAAAGAGAATAGTAACATAAAGATATAAAACTGCAAACTGCATGGCACACTCTACTGCTACAAGCAATTCATAAGATCTGAACTTTTCATGACCTCTATTACATTGAACAGAAGTGAAAACTTTCTTGAACATGTTACATGTAGTTGTATAAATTCAAGAAGAGCACAAAATATGCCCATTATTGGCACATGGCATGACATCCACCTTAATAAGCAATCCTTCCTGGCTGGGATATACTAACAGCAAGTGGGATATTCCCAGGTATTTCTTCCTTGGTCTGATATTAACACCTCTCATCACATTAACAGCAGTTCTTTCCATAACACAATTCCAGAACTGCCAGAAAAAAAAAGTATACACAACTATTCTTATTGCTATCCCAGCATTCATTCATGTGCTTGTGCATTGCATGGCTGAAGAAAACTATGGAAAAGTTTTAATGCAAAATGCTTGAATACAGGAGTTCAAACTACATACATCCCAAATTTGAAAAATACAGAAAATTCCTGTACCACAAGATTCAGTTTATTAAGCAGAAATTTGTTTTGCTTATTACGCAATCTGACCTAACGTAACATTCCCAATATGTCTCACGCGCTGTCGGATTGGATGAGTTCTGTCGTGGTCCTACTAGTTTGCTTCCACAAAGATGAACCTTGAGGTGATCGACCAGTTCAGACAAGAAATCTAAAGAACTAACAAACTGGTACAAATGAATATTGTATCAGAGTAAGAAATCCTCAAGGTAACACATCTCACCTCATTGAAAATGGGTTACTATTAAACAGCAACACATATACACATGCCTTCATGATTTCTGTTACCATCTTCATTACTGAAACTATAAAAAATGTTCTGAAGACCATTATTTTGTGTCAGCAATCTCAACAGATCATGTACATTCATCAGACTGTAACATATATTTATACATCATCATCATCATCATCATCATCAGTAATCTGTCAAGATGACAGGTCCACAGTCTCTTTCAAAACAATTCCTCCACTTAATGCGATCTAGAGCTTTCTCCTTCAAATGACAGTATCCTCTTCTGTCCCCAAGGTCATCCAGCATCTTCTTACGTCTTCTTCCTCGTCTTCTTGTCACTTCTATCCGCCCATCTATCTTTCCTTCGATAGCTTCTTTTAGAAGGCAGTTTCTGCGTAAANTTGTTAAGAAGTTAAGATGTTTTATGGACAGACATGTTGCACGCGAGATGGTGGAACCTGTAAATTTGGTACTAAGAGATGTGCAGCAGGATGCTGCATATATTATATATATAATTATATAAATTAATATATAATATTAAGAGAAGATGCAGGTAGTACTGAGGTACAAAGAAAAAAATTTTGACTTGCCATGTTTTTATGTGCCTTGTGATTTTCAGAGCAATTCTGTAAATGCACAGTTCTGGCAACTGAAGTTCACAGGACAGACCATCATTAACAATGTTTTAGGCAAATGAGTATTTACCCTAAACATCATATGAGCTTCGATGTAACATTTCGCTAGGTTTCAGCTATTGCATCATATCACAGCCCACTTTCACCTGCCTCATTACATCTGCTTGCCTCTCTTGCAGTTACTCCATTAGTAAGTCAGTCTGGTTGGCTTACAGTCACTGGACTGGCCGCCAATATTAGCAGTTTTCCAATATTTCTACTGGTTTTACTTAAAATTCGGTGAACCACTTATACTGGTCATACAATGGTACACTACTCAGTAATTAGATAAAGCAAAAGCTCATACTTTAAGGCAGATAAAAATATCATAAGTAAACACAGGGCAATGAATGTTGGGCAAAATATCCTACCTAGTGTCAATTCACATCACACCAACGAATATTAATCCTTATCAGGAGGCAAGGGGGATGTAGTTGGTTGAGGCACTATGCTACAAGCTGGAAGTTCAGGGGTTCAAGGCCCGATGAGGTCATTGAATTTTTTTCAGTTGACCTAATACTTCCAGCCGCACTATGGCCCTGGGGTCGACTCAGCCTCTAACAGAAATGAGTACCAGGCATTAAATAATTTTCCAGGGGAGTAAAGCGCGGCTGGTGCGTAAGGCTGACAACCTTACCGCCATCTTTGAGCCGACCATCTACATAATGTGGGACCCTCAACGCCTCACAACCCTATGGGCCTTCACGGCCTATTACGGGGATAGAAAACAAGTTTAGGTTCGAAGAAAGCAGTCTTCTGGGATTTGGCACCGTGTATGTGGTGTTAACCGACGTTTCGGAGGAACGTATCGCCCCCATCTTCAGGGTAGAAGAAAAAGTATAAGAAAGTATAAGAAACGGTAAAGCAGACTGCTTTACCGTTTCTCACGGCGTTGTCGCTTGCAGAATTCTTATACTTTTTCTTCTACCCTGAAGATGGGGGCGATACGTTCCTCCGAAACGTCGGTTAACACCACATATACAGTGCCAAATCCCAGAAGACTGCTTTCTTCGAACCTAAACTTGTTTTCTATCCCCGTAATAGGCCGTGAANTTCCTTTCCTAGTAGTAACAACAGTATGTCATGCAGATTTGCGCACATTAATCATTTTTAGGCACGCTACTACTGAAATTTGGCTAAAAGACTAATACAAAACAAGCTATGTTTCGTTTAATATTTACAACACGTGTGATTTTGGTGCGAACCAAAATTTTGCAGGTTATTATTACTAAAACTTTGCTATATTTAAGCCAGGTTCACTTTATACGCTAGTGTAGAATTTGCGCTTCCTTACCTGCAGAACTATCTATCACACCTTCCTTCCATATTCATAACACAGCACTACCTTCCCTACTTCAAACCTACACACCTTATTTCTTCTAAAATTTTATCGTCCACACCGGTCCACACACACGCCAACTTCGACCCGACACTAGCGCAACGCGTGTATGAACTGTATGAACCGGTACAACTGATTAAACCATATCTATCGTATAAACATCTTCATGATCTTCATTGACATAACCTCGACGACCTCGACTTACAATCGAGACTTCTCAATAGATGACGCGCCTCGGCGGTAATTCCATAGTCCATTCAGTTGGACATGACACAGACCGGACTTCATCGTATTATTTACGAAACATTACAGATTTCAGACCGCATGAAATAAAATTCGCTTACTTAGCTGTTGTTTTGAGTGCAGAATGAATATTGGACCTTTTATAAATGCCCTTATTAGAATTCGAAGTAGTGCACTGTATTCGTGCGCAATAGTTTTCCGTCTGGAAACAGAATACTTCTATACGATTGTCAGGCAAGATTTTATACGTGCATAGAATATTTCAGTTCTCACACAAGCCGAACTCGTTACCGAAGACTTTTTCTTAATTTTGCACAAGACTGTAAGAAAATAGCTACGTATCCGAACTTCGTTTCTCATATAGCCAATTCTCGCTAGAGAGCAGCCATCTTAGTTTCCTTGCGGACGGATAAAGAGAATTGTCGTTCATATATGAGATTAGCGCAGTCAATAAGTCAGATTACTCAGATGCAGGTAGAGAGTACACCAGAAAATCATGTCTCACAGAGGTAATAGTCACCTAAATTCATTTTTAACGCATGCAATATCGGGCAGCAGTTTATATCAGCAGAACTTCTAATTCTGTTTGTAGAATATGGTCAGGTGCTGTTTATGTAAACGTCCCTAACCAAAATTTTACAGCTTTTTGTTACATCAATAAGAAGAGGGAAGAGCATTTCATTTCTATTTTAAAAAGTCACAAAATAACAATAAAAGTAGATACAAACCTTACAGCTTACTCTTCTTTTCAGGTGACTTTTGACTTTTCGCACACATGACCTGTTCATAGTTGGTGACAGTCACAGTAGTTTAATTTGATTTTATATTTACCTTATGACAAAACAAAAACAATGGAGATGTATGGTCACCCGATAAAAATAGAACCCATGGGATTTTACAGTTGCCAATCGAGGGAAGATGGAGGCAATAGCAGCATCACTCCAGACAAGGAACCCCTTCAACAGCCACACGTTCAGAAGCCCGAAACCGTTCCCCGCTCGAAACCCCAGGCGTGCAAAGTGTGTGGGAAGATACTGTCATCTGCATCCTCATATTATGTTCACATGAAACTGCATTCAGGCAGCAAGCCATTTCAGTGCACAGCGTGCGAGGCAAGCTTCTGCCGCAAACCCTACCTCGAGGTGCACATGCGAACGCATACAGGTGAACGACCGTTTCAGTGTGATTTGTGTTTGAAACGTTTTACACAGAAGAGCAGTCTCAACACACACAAGCGTGTACACACAGGGGAACGCCCCTACTCCTGTGACATCTGTCACAAGCGTTTTGCCGTCAAGAGCTATGTGACAGCACACCGTTGGAGTCATGTGGCAGAAAAGCCCCTAACGTGTGACCGCTGCAGTCTTACATTCACATCCAAGAGTCAGTTTGCCATCCACATCCGGACACATGCATCAGGGGCCAGTTTTGAGTGTCATGTCTGTGGGAGGACATTCGTCAGGGACAGCTACCTCATCCGGCATCACAATCGAGTCCACCGTGACATCAGTCCAAGTTATGAGGCAGGGTGTGACATGCGGTACTATTCTCATCACCTCTCCCCAGACCTTCCCCTCAACAAGACCAAGCTCTCTGACTAATTGTATAAAGAATGCCTAGTTCTAAGGGGCTGCTGTACCTGGCACATACATGAGGCCTTTCCTTGTTTCCATGACTCCTGAGGATCATGCACGTGTTTATGTCAGCTCCACCTGGCTACATTCAGAGATTGTCGTCAAACAGTAAAATAATATATTAATTAAATGTACTTATTTATTGTTATTCTTGTTCAATTGGCTCTGTGTAAATAGCATATTTAGACTTGTTCGAGTGTAGCATTAGCTTGCAATTCTGACTGCAAATTATTGGATTGCAGCCTCATTTTCTTGTGCACTACAATAATTTGCAAATTTCTGCAACTGTGTTCAGGGGTCTGTGCCTAACATTGCATCTAACCAAGTCAAATACTCAAATCAATGGTCCAATCATATTGGTGCAATGTTGACAGAGTTCAGTGGGTGAAAGAAGCTTTCTGTGTGTGATACGAGGGGGCAGATATGTCAAGTGCCATACATTATTAAGCTTTGTTAAACTGTAGTGTAACATAAACTGAGATGTAGATTAGTGTACACAACCCAATTATGCATATTAATTACCCTCATGCTTCTTTTGCTGAATGGACTTACAATGCCATACCCCCCCCCCCTGAATTAAGTTGTGGGTGTGTAACATCGTTATGTATGATAATTAGTGTAGGAGTGTATTTCAGTATGCTGCTGTAATGTATGTAATTCTTAAATACAAACCAAAGTCAGTAGCAGATTTCATGAACAGGTGAATTAATTTGACACTGGACTATTTATTTCACAATATGACAGACTGAACATAATAGGACTTTTTTTTTTTTTTACAAAAGAACATACAAATAAATTCATAAATAACAACATGTGTGTTGCTGCATGGGGTTTACTCCCACAACTGTATTCCTAAGGAACATAATTAAACAGTTTTCAAATCGGTTCCACAACTCATTTTGCCCCCCTGGCTGGTTCTAGTAGCCAAACCTTTATCCTGAAGTAGGGGGATTTTAGAATCCCAAAGTACCATGTGGCTGGTAGCCAGATGTTAACTTTGAGATAATGGTGTTAGCATCGATAAAATTCAATGCTCAGCTGGACTTCAGACGTGTGCTATTCCTAGAGTACAATGCGCAGCCAATATGGCTTAATGTAAAATTACATCTGGACATTTCTCTTTCAATCAAATTCTGCTCAAGACTGGCATAAGCTGTGAGAGAGACAAGCCTAGAAACTAAAGTTTTGGTTTTATGTTACATTTGTGATCCATGTGTACAAGACTTTCTTGTGCACTATTTTACAACAAACAGCACATGGAATAAATGGCAGTGAATGGTGGATGATGGTGAATAAATAATTTGAAAGGAAGTGGTCATGGTGTCCTGGTGTTTGGCTGGAATGACTGTGGGAGACAACAAAATACCAAAGTCAGCATAGATGCTGTCCCAGCAGGTATTTGAACTAAACACCATTATCGCTACACTAATCTGCTCGGTTATGAGACTTATGTTAAATAACATTTAGAATATGACTTCAAAATCTCACATTACATTGCATTCCATGGATCCAAAGTTAGTCAAAATGACTGTAGGATGTGGAATATGTCATATAAATACAGTATGAAGACAAAAGAAAACTGACTGCAATAATGCTGACACACATCAGCAGAAGGTTAGAGCAACTTCACTTCTGCTGGCTTCACACTTTTTCATACTTTATAGTGAATGAACTGTCATTCATTGTAATAGAAACTGATCCTGTCCTGTATTCCTTCATGTCATATCCCTGTGAAGCATGAATTTCTTCAAAATATTACCTACAAATCCAGTTCTGTCTTACAGGAGATGTTACATATACGTTACAATAACGAACTGGTTAATAGTTTCGGGAAATAATAACTGTTTATTCTGAGATTCTTATGACACAAATATACTGTGTGGGCATAATGCACAGTTGTTTTAATGTTAAAGAAGGTGGTATGTATATAATAATCACTGTGCTTTAAAAAGCTAAACAGCCTATTCCTTTGCGGTTTCCTTGCCAAGTTTTGTATATAATCTCTCCCAGCACATGATGTTGCTGTTTTTAAACTTAACTCAAATTCAAGGCCATTGGTTTTAAGTGAACATACGTATGTACCGATGTGATATTGCTAAAAATTCTCAGCTTGAATCTTGTACTTTCTTAAAAAGGGATTATTTTTTCTTTTGTCTGGAGACCCTGTCAGTAAGTCCTTCCATTACAGATTTGTTTCCCAATCTAATTGAAAAATAATTGTTTTTAATTAGTTCATCAGCTAAGGAGGTACATTAATTTGTGAATAAAATGACTGTATGTAGGTTAACAAACAGTACACCCAAGAACATGAATCTCCCAAGTTCACTCTGGATAATGAAAGAATTAGTGAGTGAATGAATAAGGGTTGGGGCTTAACCAGGCCATGCACCACAACCCTGAGTGATCTACTGCATGTCCCCCTGTGTTCAGTCCCGCAACAATCCTGCACTCTGAATAAGTGTAGCTGCTCTGGATAATAATTTTGGTTGGAGGGGGGGGGGTGAACTGAAGAAAAGGACCTGAATTATCTCAAGACAGTGCTAAAGGTTACCACTTATCAGGTTAGTTCAGAGCACAATGCACTGACATGCATTGGAAATTAGTGTCAGAAGCGACAAATTTTACCCAGTGGATTACATAAAACACATTCACACACACACACACACACACCTTTCGCAAATTCTCCCTGTATATAAATGTGAGCCAAACTAAAAGGAAAATGCCCAATAAGAAGACCTGAAATCAAGAGAGGAACAAGTTAGGAAAGATGTCAAGCAAAATGCAGGAAGAACGTGGCTAAAATGAGGAGGACAAGCTTTCAGAAGACAGAAATGGATGGACAGGCTTGGTCACTAAACAGTCCACATAGTGGAAATTTCAAAGCATGAGAAAGGGAATCAGTCTGGACTTCCATGAATTCTGAAAATATCATCTCAATAAATGTTCATCATGTGTAAGAGATGTGGAATTCAAGGAAATACACACATTCCTCTCATACTGTTGGAGATACTGTAGCTGTGTGGTAAGTATGCAGACAAGCTTCAAGCCCAAACTCTGCCATTTTCTTCACATTTCATTTCATTTATTCACCTTCCATAAATCCTGTCGAGAATATATACTCATGTGGATGTATGTGGACAGGTGAAATGTCTTCTAAGATAGGCCGCATACTGGCATGCGTCAAGACACAATGTCTGTGACATGATGTAAAGAAAGGAGCACAGTTGAAATGAATGAGAGTATTAAAACCACTGCACACCAGTCTTGAGTCATGATGCTGACGTCATGACTCAGACCGGTGTGTGGCAGTTTTCATAATCTCATTCCTTTCAACTGTGCTTTCTTTGCGTCATGTCGCAGACATCGTCTCTTGACTGTTACATATCTTGACACATGCCAGTGTGTGGCCCGCCGGTGTGCGGCCTACCTAACACCTCTGGGAAGCTGTGTACCTTGCCAAAAAAAAAAACTCTGTGACTTGAGTCCACAAGTGAACTATACCGACTGAGCGACCGCCACTTTTTGGCAAAGTTAGTGCCAATTTTAGCAGATAGAGGGTGTCACATCAGTGCAAAGAGTCCCCACAGCCATTAATGTCGGTTTTCTAGACCGGAGCCACTATGTCCTTGAAATAGCTCCTCAATGTCCCATTGCTTGTAAATAAGCATACCTCATAGCTATCGATAGAGAACAGTGGTCACTGTTACCACCAAAACTGTTGCATCTCTTTGCAGAGAAGACAAAAATGTCTCCAATGGACAAACCATAAAATTCTATATGACCAATTCTACACAGACTTGAAAGGTAATTATCAATATTTTATACAAATTTGCTTGTCCAAAACTGAAGTCCACAATGGGCCGCCACACTGTCCCACAGCATTCCTGTAGAAACAATGAGTGGAATTCAGAGAGTTTGGTATTGTGATGTGGAGGGCAGACTCCAGAGGAAGCTATGGGCACAACTTGAAGAAAAAGTTCTGTCCAAGTTATGGATTCATTCAAAACCTTTAAACACAGTACCATACACAAATTTGCAGTTTCTAATTTGCTGAGTTTGAGAGAGATTCATACATCAGACCTCTACATTGTGATTTACAGGGTGTTTCATAAGTTTATTACCATTCTCATGGACATATTTAATAAGATTTGTGTGCACTTGCAATGAGTGAGTACAATGGCCTCTTGTTCTACTATGGAAGAGCATACACAATAATAATGTATGAGAAACATTAATGCATAAGAAAAGTTGATACATTCACATTTTTGTCTCTCCATGTTAAGTAGCAACAAATTTATGAAATACTTTAAATTCACTTTCATTTCTAGAATACAGAAAAACTTAAGTTGTCTGTGACATTAGTCTGAATACAGATTTTTATTTTTTTTTCAAGCTCTGAAAGTCATTTGGAGGTTGCAACATAAAGTGATCAAGCAATGTAATCTCACACCTAGATGATGTCAACTGAAATACGAGAATGGTTACTGTGATTCACAAACACATCTGACTTGCGGACAGTTCTGTCTAAAACTGAAGCTCAACCAGCCAAGAACCTGACAAGACCTACAAGACTCGGAATTATTTATGCTTCTACATTTTCTAGTTCAGTAAAATACACATCTCAGAGCATTTTCTGAGGCAGGACACAAAACCACCTCTCACACTGCATGAACAAAGCCTACCTTCTGCAACTTGAACAGCAAAAAAGTCTCTTAATAAGAAATATATCAGGACATTGCTGAGTTCTGGGAGTTAACACAGAAGTAACAGTAAATATACTAACACTATTCACTTTGACAAATGTCAACTGGTCACTACTGCCTGTTTCTCACCTGTGCACTAGTGGAATTATTGACTTGTTAGTACCTACTGTTCATGAAGGTAAATGATTTGCAAAACCCCCCTGCATCAGAAATAAAACTAAACCAGTTTGCACTGTGCACTACACGGTGTACAGAGTGTGTCATGAATTTTGAATAACTGACAATCAACACCAGTCTCAACTGTTGCAAAATTTTATAAAGGAATGTATATTAGACATGTTTTTTACTAGTGGCTGGTAAAATTGAATCCACATGCCAGAATCATTTATGACAGTGGTAACTTTTAAGAAAGTTAGACGGATGGAAAGACAGAAGACCTTACACATTAACTGCTCGGACATGCTATAAATTAGAACATGTAAATAAATCATAGCACGTATCAGGAAGGGAATTCTTTGCAGAGGCTTTCATGGTGGTGACTGTTGAGAAGGTAGTCTCCTGGGTTGTACAGAGATGTTGATGTTTCAGAGGAACTGTTGTTTCCATCATCAGGGTGGAAGTGTGTAGGCTGCAAAGCCTCTTTTACTGGCTACCTTCCTTGCAATATGAGTACACCTATATAAACAAGCAAATTCCTAACCCTACACACTTTCACCCTGAAGATGAAGGCACATGTTGCTGTGAAATGTCAACATCTGCCTACAGGACTACATGGTATCACAACCCACAAGACCACTGTCTCAGATGAATGTAATGTTTGTGCAGCACCACAAACTTTCCATATCCTTTGTTGAATTCTAACCAAATCCAATTTAAAAAAAGTATGGAAATAGGCAGCAAGTCTTATGCCCTGAAATTCCAGCCACCGTAATTTGTTCCATGTAGAATAAATTTTCACTCTTTCAGGAGAAGTGTTACCTTCAAGTCTCCACCTGCATTCAGCTGTTTCATGCAGAGTCCTCATCCTCATAGCCTTCTCCTTCTTCCTCCAAGTCCTCATCGTCGTCGTCCACCTGTCAACAGAGAATCATATCCTGTTGCCTTCTCTGATATATTATTCACTTCAAAGGACATTTCATGCATATTTACCGTCAATGTCCTCCTAATCTTCCTGGTTTAAAATAATTCACTCACCTGTGGAGCTGAGCCCTTCTTGAGAAGCTCCCAATTGTGCTGCTACTCACAAACTTCTCAGCATTATATAGAACCCAAAGGTTCATTACCATGTTCACAAGAGTCCTCCACTGGTCCCTATCATAAGCCAGATCAATCCAATCCATACCATTCCATTCTATCTCTCTAAGATCCATTTTAACATTGTCCACCCACCTACATCCTGGTCTTCCTAGTGGTATATTTCCTTCTGGCTTTCTCACCAATACCCTATATGCATTCCTCTTCTACCCATTCGTGCTACATGACCTGCCATCTCATCCTCCTTGACTTGATCATTCTAATTATACCTGGAGAAGCATACAAGTTATGAAGCTCCTCATTATGCAGTTTTCTCCAACCTCCTGTCACTTCATCTCTCCTTGGTTCAAATATTGTTCTTGTTCTCAAACACCCGCAATCTATGTTCCTCTCTTAATGTTGGAGACTAAGTTTCACACCCATACAGAACCACAGGCAAAATTATAGTTCTGTATATTCTAATTTTTATGTTTTTAGACAGCAGACGAGAAGACAAAAGGTTCTGGACTGAACGGTAGCAAGCATTACCCGAGTTCTATCTCCTCTTAATTTCCTCCTGAATCAGGTTGATCTGTTACATCAAAATCCACACGGATGATCCCCTATAATTTCATATATGTATGGATTTAACCTTGAGAGAAGAATATTGGATAAAATTTTGTATGAAGTTGGTAGCAGTGATATCCCATGATAATTACCACACTCAATTTTATCACCCTTGTGAACTGGTATAATAATAGACTCCTTCCATTGATCAGGCAATTTTTCCTTGTTCCAAATACAATTATTTAGCTTATGGATAATGTTATATTTTAGCGTCCTGTTGCATTGATTTTCATCCATTATATGTATACAGTGGCCGTCTTTTAGTGCACTCAATTTCACCTGTCACTTCACAACATGTTTCGGCAACATAGTGCCATCATCAGGTGTCCCAATTACGCCAATGTATTGTATTGCTTGCCCTCATATGTTTTCACAACACCATTTAAAAAGTATTTAAAAAGTCCGTATTTGTCAACTATGATAAATTTACACTGGCTAAAACTTAAGATAATTCATCTTATTTGTCTTAATTAAAACTTGCATGTGGTTCGTTCACTACGGGGTCGTTTTTCTTATTTTCTGTGTAAACCGCATCTTGTGATGTGTGTTCTCTTCTTAGCTGCGAGTGTTGTAATCATGAAGTAGTAAATGTGACTTGCCTTCTCGCCGAGGGCTCGCAGCTGAGCCTTTAATTGGTTCAGTCTTGTGTCCTGATCTGTGAGTAGCTCCAGTAAATCTTCTTGGTCCTTTCGCAATTTCTGCAACTCAGAGTCCGCAGACTCCAATTCTGCCAACTTCTCCTCTGCTGCTGCCAGTCGCTGTTGTGTTTCACGTAGCTCTTTCTGTAACCATGAGTACACACCAAGATGAATTCACACATCTCAATGACATGTGAACTTGTTCATGGGTGGGCCAATGAGTACAGATGTAGATGATTCATCATGTTGGCAAACGAGTTATATACAACAAGAAGGTGAAAACAGAATAAAAGAGGCCAAAGCATCCTTGCAAGAATATTAATCAAGCACATGACAGTGTTCAGGTTTAATAATGCTAGCATAAAGACTGCTTAAATTTCAGCATAAATTGTTCCCTTTATCAACATCATCACTGAATTTGAAGCAAGCTTAAAATCTACTAAGAAAACCATTTCAGTGCATATGCAATACTTTTGCCTACGAAACAAACTTTGTCAAAAGAGCTACATTTATAATGAATCATTAAACTTTGCAAAATAATAGTAAGCATTGCACAGTGCAATTAACTTCTTTTTGATCACAGTGGACACCGCAGTACTGACTCAAGCATACCCATTATAATTTACTGTTTCTATCTTCTGATCCTATCTGTAACTATCAAATCTGACACCCAGATGTCACTGAGATCCTGGACTCAGACAATGGTACTATTGGCTATGGGCCAGGAGCATTGATGAAAGGTGGTGCTGGCAGGGTAATACCTGTGCAGCTGGGCAGGTGCCCCCAGGACCACGAATCAGGGCCTAATGCGCCAGCATGGTGTTGCGGCACTGTAAGCATCATATACCCCCTCTGCAAGTGTATATTTCATGATCTCAGTTCAATACTGTAACTGAGAATACAAATCAGATTTCTAAATGATCTTGCAAAAACAGAAACACAAAGAGAATTGATACATACCAGTCACTTGCAGGTACAGTCACAGCCGTACAAGACAAATAATATTAGGGAAACTGTGTAGTAATGCAGATGACAGTCTACTGCTTGGGTTTCTCATGAAAAGCATGTTCAGCTACCACATGCATCTCTCTCCCATGGCTTGGCAGACTGGATTCAGCTAGTCCAGAAAGCCTCCATACATAAGGATGGGCAATAACTGATTTTTCTTGTCTCATGAAAAGTGTAACTGTCAAATATATAAATGAAACTGGAGGTTTTCATTCACATTTACCTTTTTGTTTACTTCTGAGTGGAGCACGCAACAGTGTAGTTGGTTGAGGCACTATGCTACAAGCGGGAAGGATGTGGGTTCAATTCCTGATGAAGTCACTGAATTCTTAAGTTGACCTAATGTTTCCAGCCACATTATGGCCCTGGGGTCAACTCAACCTCCAACAGAAATGCGTACCAGGAATCTTCCTGGGCATAAAGGGTGGCTGGTGCATAAGGCTGACAACTTCACTGCCATCTGTGAGCTGTCTAGAAAATGTGGGAACCTCAGCATCTCACAACCCCATGGGCCTCCATGGCCTGTTACAGGGAGAGTTTTACATTTTTTACTTCAGAGTAGGTTAAATAATGCTGAATAAAATAACATAATAGGCCATTTCTCAGCTAAATTTATAGACCTTAAGTAACAAAGCACGAGAACAGAGAACAGACAGACACACGGTTTGAACAGATCTGATCTTCTTCTTTTCCTTTGTTCATTCATGATACATTGTTCATTGCTGATATAATAAGAAACCACTGAAGCAGGTAGGTACAATTCTTCTCCTGGTAACCTCTATGGGGATGCAATTTGACATGGTATCCATAGATATGAATCAGAAGAACCAACTTGCTTATTTTCCTTACCTTCTCACACAGGTACAGAAACAGAGCTCCATCCTGCATGGCCCACTTACCTCTTATCACTTCTATATAACCTGCCATTTCCCAAAATGCAACACAGTACTACTAGTTTTTTAGACTTTTTCCATTGTCCAGAATTCTAGGTAACAGAGGAAACAACGTTTCGGAAACTGGAGCTGTTTCCGTCTTCAGGTGAGAAAGGAAGACACCTACTCAGTTGGGCCCCTTCCTTTCTCACCTGAAGACAGAAACAGATCCAGTTTCTGAAACGTCGTGTCCTCTATTACTTAGAATTCCGGACGAAGGAAAAAGTAAAGAAAAAATCCAGTAATTCTGTGTGTCATCCACCATCATCAGAACCCTTTAGAATCTACATGCAACACTGTCATAACCCAGAACAACACAAAATGAATTAGGCTACAGACGCAGCTATCCCCCATTCTCAAGAATTCTCTCAGAACTTGTATGGATGGAAGGAAACTATGCTCTACAGTACTTCATACCTGATAGCCAGGACCTCTTGAATACAAAACCCAGTTACTGTATGAGTAAACTCAAATACACAACTACAACCGACATCTGAGCAAGTGGACACTGGAGGATTCCACCAACCTCTGTATCACTTGTGGAAACTGTCCCATCCATGGTTGTTGACCGCAACCGAGCCTCCAGGTCAGACATTGTCCCTGAGGTCACCTGCTCCTCCTGATGAACAAGAGCATGTTGCTAACAAAGCTCTGCTGATGCATGGATTTATTATGAACAAACATACACAGCCAATAGACCTCCGAGCACCATAACAACCGTCTGTGTATACAACATGTCTGCCTAAGCATCACCCCACATTATTAAGATTACAACTACATATTTTGAAATATAATTGTATGTACAACTATTAACTGTACAGGGGACAAATTTGCTTGTGTCTGTGACATTCTTTAAATGATACGTGTCCCATGGGTAGTGAAAAATGAGCAACAATCCTGGCAAAGCTTCCTAAAGAAAAGTGCAAACTTCTTCAAGATGCAACAAAGCAAGAACTTGAGTGCTCTCTATTGGGAAGCAAGAAGCAAAATGGGTTAAATGATCCCAAATGCAGCCATTGGAAACCAACCACCTCTTAACTGTACTTTAATTATGTAACTAGTTCATTTTAAGACTTTTACTTTCAATGTATATATACTAAAACTGGAACAATACAGAGAAGATTAGCATGGCCCCTGCGCTAGCTTGATCACTGGTCTAAAATAAGAGTCATGTTTTGTTGCAACCCAGTCAGAAACAGATTTTGCTTACAAACTATCAAACTTTTTGCAGTTGTTGGTTGAACTGCCTTGAAGCATGCTGTCTCCTGGAATGCAATGCCCTATAGTTCTGAGGGGGGCCCAATATTTCAAAGGTACATTCGGCTCTCTCAAAGCTACATGTCGCTACAACCCAGAAGACCATACTCTTTAGAGTGACAGCTGTGAATACCTCTAGTCCCACACCCAGTTACCTTGACATTCCACTTCTACAGTGACCACACAAATGGCACATCTCAGTGCTTCTGGAAATCACATCCACCAACTTTACTTAAAATTTTTTGGTACTGTCCACTCCAACCTCTAAACAAAAGGCAAGTAAGACACACTCTCCTTCTAAATGAAACTGTCAGTTACCTGCTTCTGGTGAGTAAAGGAATCCACAGCTGTCTCCCTGGAAGCGAAGGCTGCTGACCATAACAGTGATGGGCTCATTACAAAACAGACACATGGTTTTACCAAAGGAGGCGTTGGCAGGTATTGTACTCAACGGGTAGGTTTGAAATGAGTACTGGTATGACCACTGACAGAAGCTGAACTAGACACCTTGCTGAGTCAGGGGGATGACTCATGCAGTAAAAAATGCCTATACAAGTACATTTTCTTCACAGAAAACATAAGGGGATAATACATCAGTGAACAGGGTAGAACTAAATGGGAGGATGCATTAAAAGGAAACTTATAGGATGTGGAAGGAGTTACAGTGGTCTACATGATGGTCTGACTATGTGCCTGGAGACACACCCATCCCCAAGTTAAAGGAAGCAGTTTCTGGACAACTCTGGAGTACTCACCAGCTTGCAGGTAAGGCTGTCCTTACATTCACTGTCTGTCTTCAATTGGTGGGACTTGGCCCATGACTTGTGCCCTAATGTGCTACCATCTGTGGTCTGTCCCAAACCTGTGTTTGTCTGTGCACGGAGCACCATGTTCTCATCTCGCAGCTGAGATATGGTTGATGTCAGATCATCAACCTGTGCCTGCAACATAACAAACTGCTCCTTGACTTTGCAGAACTCTGACATAACTCCATATAACAAGAATGACCTCTTCTGTATGTAGCCTGGAATCACCAATGACACATCACAATGAAATGTTATTACTTACAAACTCCATGGCTCTTAGTTCCTCTCAGAACCTTGGCCTTCTTCATGATGCCCCCTTTTCTTTAATTCGCTTAGTGGGGGATGGAGTCCTACTGGGTCCACTCGGCACGGCAGCCACTGATTGGCCTATTGTAGCCTGCCCTGGGTGATTATGACGATGAACAATTTGGTGGAATGAAGACTGGCAGGGGAAACCAAAGTACTTGGAGAAAACCCGCCCCAGTGCCACTTTGTTCACCACAAATCCCAATTTACCAGACTCAGGTCATGATGTCCATTCTTCTCTATTATTTGATATTTGCCTCCCTCTCTTCTCTTTTAGCTCTCATAAATCATGAGCCATGTCAATCTGGGCCATCAATTCCAATTTTGTCTTATCTTACCTCTGAGTAAACTGATCGCATTCCAAGCAACAAGACTAACTTATTATTCTTATAGCATTTCATTAGCAGTTCCCTAAATTATCCATCCGGCAACCCTTGTTAGGTTTCTTTAACATATTGTCACGTGTTGGGTGTGTAACGTGACGAATAACTTTACGCCACATTGAATATAGCGAATTTATTCCACATTCGCTCATACACATATACAATTCACAATTACACAATTACTGCCATTGGCAGTATCACAATTACTTCCTCTGGCGAATGCTAGACTGCAAATGACTTCGACGGCCGCTACATTTTAATGGTCTGGTTACTAACTACTCACTACTGAATAGTGTTCGCTGCTCCATATTTAGCCTTGGCACAGACAACACAGAAAACAGTTACGTGATAGCCTTCACTGTTGTGTGACGTCGTGTTTACTGATTGCCTAGCAACAGTCACTGCATGGGCTCCCCTGTTGTGTGATGCCGTGTTTACAAAGGCATTGTTGGGCAACGCTGCCGAGAGTTGTTTACTGCTGCATAGCAACTGCAGTTTCCCCTGTTACATCACCACGGTGGAGGGGGTGTTTAACGAGCATTGCATTGTCCACGTCACACTATATTGTTTTCTTTCCAATGTGAGATTGTTGGACTCGAGTCCAACCCCCAGACCTGGAGGGCCAGGCCCTCTAACCTCTGACCTGTAACCCTACATGTGCACACGTAAAAGCAGTAACAGTGCATTTACAGGCTTGAAGTAATCACAGAATATTTGGTTTAATTTTGAAAGGAAATACTACAACGGCAGCAGACAACTGTCTCCCAGAATGCAATGCTATGCAAACTGATATGCCATTATTAGTGTTTCACGGGGACCTGATGCCTCTGTCTTCAGGGCAGAGGAATAAACTAAGCATAGAAAAAAATGATATGGACATGGGGCGAGGGAGACAGGACCAGAACATTGCGGACACCAAGAGAACTAAGCAGAGCAGAGCATTGGTCACTAGACCAATGGTTCAAGCTGTCATTCGACCAGTCAGATTAGGTCCTCCATATTGCCTGAAGATGGAAGTGGAACCTGCTTAAAGATCACTGTGATTTTAGCAGAAAACTCAGACCATGGATATTGTCCAGGGTATACAGACTCACCATGAAACATCAAAAACATTCAGACATGAATTTAAGAATTGTTTCTAATGATAGAGAAGAGAGAAAGTGTAGGTACCTGACCTGTAATGTGGACTTCTCAGCTGTGAGCCTGTCGATTATCTGCGTCAGCTCCTGAAGTTTGCGATCCTGCTCTCGGATCAGGTCCTTATACTGGAGCAAAAGACTGTTCTCTGATGGTGACATTGACAGTTCTGAAGATCCATTCACCAGATCACCTTGTGGCTTAGGAGTGACAGCTTTGATGACCATTCCTGCGACACAACCACACGAACTTCAAAACACACAGGTGGACGTGGTAAGATGATACAAGCATGACATGCAACAATCATGGGAGAGATCAGAAATGCAATCAAAATGTTGGTCAAAAAACCTAAAGAGAGAAAACCTGTAGGAAGACATCAGTGTAGATGGTAAGATGATATTAAAATTGATCTTAAATATACAGGATGGTTGACATGGATTTTATTCATCTGTCTCAGAAGAGGAACAAATGGTTATATGACACCAATATTTTTTTTTCCTTGGCACTAAAGCCCCAGTGGGCCTAGGCCTACCTCCATGAACTTCTGCGTTCACTTTGGTTTTTCTAGATCTTACAAATTCGGTAGGACTCCTTGGGCGGGTGATCAGCTCATCGCAAGGCCTCTACCTGTACACAAACACAGAAAAACGCACACACACAAACTAAACATCCATGCCGTGAGTGGGATTCGAACCCACGATCCCGGTTTTCAAGCGAGCGAATACAGTACATGCCTTAGACCGCTCGGCTACCGTGACTGGCAGTGTATAAGAATAAGACATGTATATAAGAATTGAGTTCGTACCTCACAGGAAACAGATCTGAACCCAAGATCCCGGCTTCCGAGCGAGCGAATACAGTACATGCCTTAGACCGCTCGGCTACCGTGACCGGCTGAGATCATTATTACCATACACAATTCTGAGATAGGAACAAATTATGGGTCTTCAGGCATACAGATCTTGCATAACAATGCTTTGATTTATGGGAAGTCATTACAGTTCAATAAAAATAATCCAACTGGTGCGGATATTATTTTGCTGAGACCATGTGTGATGGAGATGTCAATGCTACAGGCTTCCCTCTTTCTATCAGTTACTGTACTCCCTCCGGCCCACTTCGCCCTGTATCAAGCAAACCAATGTGCGTGTTCCTAGCAGATGCTATCACTACCAATATTTGTGTGAACAGAATGGCTAGACAACTGGAGAGGAATATGGTAAACAGGCTGAAGCACAAACTTTAACAGTTTGAGGTAACAGAGAAAGTACATTGTGGGTTCAAGTTCTAAGGTCTCCGATTTTTTTCTGACACAATAATCATACAAAAAATTTGAAACTTCTGTCACTTTTCAACGTAATCTCCCTGCAGCCGTACACATTTTTCACAACGTCGACGCCATGATTCCATGGCCGCTGCGAACGCTTCTGTAGGTGTCTGTTTTGACCCCTGGAAAATTGCTGATGCAATAGCGGATTGAAAAACGGCATCCATGTCTCATCCATTGTCACAGTTGATGAAAAGAAAGTCCCATTCATGCCTTCATCACATGTCAAAATCGCCTGGCAAATTGCCATGCGTGCAGCCTTGTGGTCATCCGCCAGAAATAGGTGGCACCCACCTGGAGGACACTCTCCGCATTCGCAGGTCTTCATGCAGGATTTTGTGCACAGATCCCATGGAAATGCCAACTTTGGAGGCGATGTTTTCCACACTCAATCGGCAATCCTCCAAAACAACTTTCTCAACTCGCTCGACCATGTTGTCAGACCGGCTGGTGCGAGGCCAAGATTGTTTTGGTTCATTGTCACACGACGTTCCGCCTTCTTTGAACTGCCGTGCCCACGAATGCACATTTTTCACATTCATGACAACATCACCACACGTCTCACTCAACTGGCGATGAATTTCAATGGGTGTCGCACCACGCAAGTGGAGAAAATGAATGATTACTCGCTGTTCTTGTAATGAAAACGTCGCCATTTTAAGTATCAAAAACACTCCTCACTCTCGCCGCTACCACTAGAGTTCTGTGTGCCGTAGAGTGCTGCCATCTCTGTCACGCATTCACAAAGAGTGCACACGTATTTTAAACCAACCTGCATGTGTCTATCTGCTCCCAGTCCTGAGAAAAAAAATTGGAGACCTTAGAACTTGAACGCCCCTCGTAATACATGGCTTCACAGCAGTATTAAATGTGGTATCATTTTAGATCAAATCCCTGACATACCTTCGAGGGCTTTGAAGAGGCAGCAGAATTCATGGTCTAGCAGCAGTTCACTGGACTGTTTGGCCTGGAACTGTGGATGCTTGGCAGCCTTGCTGTACAGCTCATGCTTTGAGACTTCACTGATTTTGTCCAGGAAAGTTTCGAGGCCCAATCGCTTCTCCACTAGCTGTCGCAACTTCTCCTGCATACAGTTACGTTACAACAATTTCAGAGACATGTTAGCTGATGAAATTATTTTAAACATTCATTGAAGTTTTCTGACTGGTACTAAATATGAGGGCCCTGGGTATAGTAAAGTTACTCTGTGCCCCCATTATTCCACTGTCTTCCAACATGTACAGTAGCCATGTCTATTAAAGTATATGCATGCATTACAGTACAGTTTTTGGATGCAATGTGATTCCTCGTTCCCGAATTATTTTCTAAATTACAGCAAAAACCTGATTTAGGGGACCAGCATTTTATGCTTTCCTGCATTTAAAGTACATTTGTTGTGGTCCCAGCCAAAGTTCCATATGGCAACGTTAATTTTCCTTCATATCAGAGTTTACCCACATTTTACAAGTGAAACTTTGATTCCTATGCATGTTTCATATCTCATTTTAGCACTGAAGAGAATTTATGTGTTCCAGCTTGCAGCGATCTCGATCAATTAACGGATGCTAGGCCGTGCCATAGCTCAAGCGGTTAGTCGCTGGCTTCCCACTGTGGCAGCCCGTGTTCGATCCCAGGTCTGGTCAAGTGGGATTTGTGGTGGACAAAGTGGCGTTGGGGCAGGTTTTCTCTGAGTGCTTCAGTTTCCCCTGCCAATCTTCATTCCACCAATTGCTTCACAATCACCCTCACATATCACCTGGGGCTGGTACAATATCCCAGAAGTGGCGGCAGTACAAGGGACTTAGTCCCACCCCACTAGCAATAAAAAAAAAAATACGGATGCTTGATGATGGCCGTGTGAGGCCGAAAAATGTTGCAATAAATAAATATATGCGATTTTGATGACATTTTATGAATTTTAAATCTGATTATAGATGATATTTTAGAACAGAACGTTGTTTTTGTATTATAGATGGAAGTGAGTGAGTGGGTGGGGAAAAAAATGTATCTAATAGAGAAACTTCTTGTTCTCATGTCACTTCTCAAAACGTTTCCAAATTCTTGCCCTCAACTGATAAAGTCATTTTTCCACAAGCCTAACATTTATGTTTTTCTAAGATTCTAATGATACTTGTCTTCCTGAACAGCATTAACCTGGTGGTCTGTGTAATGAAGACATATTGTGTTTCCAGAGCAGTATGAATTGAATTTTTAAATATTATTCAAATAAACTTTATGTTTCAAAGGGTTAACTTACTTTGGAAAAAGTGGTAACTGTATCGTCATTAAAGGTGACACAAATTCCCATGAGGAAAGCACACATCCCTTGCACCAGCTTCTCATTATCATCGTGTTCATTTGAGCCTGCCTGCGAAACAAACCACAATCTATCAGAGACTGTTCCCATGGTAACACATCACTGTGACAAGAATACAAATATGAAACTAAGGAAAACAGCCCTTGTTCACCAAACCAGGCGCAGGTGGGGCTGACTGTTACCTGCACTAATCTGTGGCCCATTTACATGCAAGTAACTCACCATCTGTAGGCTCCACAACTGAGCGTCTGTCTACTAACTACAGTAAGTTTGCAGGCACAATCTCAAGTTTCACAAATTGCCACTCCTACAACTAACACACAAAAATATTTTGTGCTGCCATTTCATGGTAAAGCATCAGATACAACATCCAGTTAATAACAATGCAACATAAATAACCCAATGTGGAACAATTTTTTAAAAAGAGAAGCACTACATTATCAGTAACAATAAAATACAAGAGGTAAAGAGGTAAAAGACCACCTCTGTGGTCAAGTGGTCAAAGTTTCTGGCTACAGATCCAGAGGTCCAGGTTCAATTTCTGGCGCCACCATATTTTCTGAGAAGTAATGGCATTGTGAGGATAATTGAGGAGCTATTTCAAGGAAATAGTGGCTTTACTCTAGAAAACCGAAATTAACGGCAGTGGGGATTTGTTGCGCTGACCATGTGACACCTTCTATCCGCAAAAGTTGGCACTAGCTTCACAGACAAGTGGTGGTTGCTTGGTCGGTATAGTTCGCTTGCGGACTCAAGCCATGGAGTTTAAGTTTTTTTTAAAAAGAGTTAAAAAAAGGTAAAGCTATCCCTGTAGCAGGCCTTACATGCTGGCCACCTTTTACACCTAGGATGACTTCTGGTACTCATTTTTGTCACAGGCTGAGTTGACCCCAGGGCCATAGCGGGTTTGTCTGTGTACCCTCCTATCACTGCTACATAACAATACAGTAAAGATGTTCCCAGAGCAATGAAAAAATTTTGGAGGCATCATTTTCTACATGGCCTGTGATGTATCAAAGGAAAGTAGGTGGTTAGTTCCTCCCAAAACTTCCTGTTACCGAAATGAACGGTACTCTTCAACTATAGCATAAAGCAGATTAAAATTTCTGCACCAGATGTCAATATGCATCAGCATCATAAAAGGCCATGATAGAGCAAAGAAAAGAGTTGAAACTTAATGAACTCTTGAGATGAGCAAACATGCCCTCTTATGTGTTTATGCTATCTCAGTGAAACATGCCAATTCTATAACACCACAGATGTACAGAGGCTGGGTATGCATATTGCCACATCTGCCAGTTCAGCACCTGACACAATCTGAACTGTCACCCTTCCCATACCCTTCCTACATGACAATCAGAACACTGTGACTGCCATGCCCTCAGTTAACATTCTGCTGAACTGAGACAGCTACTGTGGGGCTGGTCATGCAATAAGCATGAAGAGAAAAATGACCTAAAATATGACCCAAAAATGTAATATGCAGGGCCCAGACTTTGATGACCTGAAAATATTAAAAAAATGACCGAAAAAATCCAGAAAAATGTACTAAAGGAGAAAAGAAAGAACACTTCACTTCCATGTTAATCACATTTCAGAAAACATATGAAGAAAAATTCCCTAGAATGGCCAAAAATGACAAGAAATACCCTTAAAAGTCCAAAAATTTACCCCCAAAATGAAAAAAAAAAAGACCTTAAACCTAAAAATGTCAAAAAATTACCTATAAAATTTACATTTCTGTAACCAGCAGCTCATATCTGAGATTTATATATTTAAGAGCATCATATAGGATATAAGGAAAAAAGATGACATGTCATCAAAATCCGGGCCCTGCTTATAACAAATGTACGCCATGCCATAGCTCAGGCGGTTAGTTGCTGGCTTCCCACCAAAGGTAGCCCAGGTTTGATCGCAGGCCAAGTCATCGAGATCTGTGGTGGACAAAGTGGCATTGGGACAGGTTTTCTCTATGTACTTTGGTCTCCCTTTCCAATTCCCATTCCACCGACTGCTCCACACTCATCATCATCTATCATCTGGGCTGGTACAGTAGCTAAATCAGGTTACATCCTTAGTACTGTAATTATTTTCCTTAGATCAATTTTTAATGTTATTCTTCCACTTTTTTTGAGCTGTATGTTCAGCCCACTGCAGCCTTCTTCATTTGCCTATCTGAGGTCACAAACAGAAAAGTAAAAATTAATTAAAGGCTCAGTTCGATGATATCTTGCCTACCTGTGCAGTGAGGTATGGAATACTGGTTGGAATACTGAGAAACTGCTTCACTGCCAGGGGACAGTGTGCCAGCCATGTGCTCAGCAACATTAGAAGCCCGAGCTTTGACTGCACCTTGTTGCCCTGAAAAAAAAATTGCACTGTGAAACATCTCCAGTGATATTAGAGAACATCATGAGAATCTTAATCTCTATGTTCCTTTTCATGGAACACACAAGTCCTGTGAGATGTACACAACAAATGTTTCCATTTGAGGCCAAACAAAAAACTCATTCTGTCAAAATAAGATCTAAAAGTCTGTGATGATGGTACATTAGTACAAATATTATGTTTCTGGACATAATCCATCATCTTGTCTTAATCTAAAAACACTGTCCTGTTTATATTACAAAAGGGGATTGGGACTACCTCTATCGATTGGGCCCAACTGAGTAGGTTTTACCTGAAGATGGAGAATTCAGTCTCTGAAACATTGTGCTTTGTAATATAAATAGAATGGTGTTTTTAGATTAAGACAGGATGACGGATGTCCAGAAATATAATATTCATTCTGCCTAACTTCCAGGATTTCTCAGGCACCAAGGGATAAAATATGTAACTTACAAAACCTTGGTCAGACTCACAGAACACTGCAGTCAAGCGGGCAGCATTGCTACTTTACATTCAGGAGATTTCAAGTTCAAATCTCAGCCCAGAGACCACCTTTTCTAACCGAGTCTCTACGATTTTCGTCAGTAGTCACAGACAAGTGCCAGGATGGCACCTCACTTAGGCCACAGCCACTTCCATGATCTTTTAATTCATTATGCATTCTACCATTTCACATTATAAGCCTATGAGCTACTGTCAGCTTACTTCACAGGTAACTGTCCCACCTGTTGTAGCAGCAACATGGTGCACTGGTGCATGAGGGAGATGGGCTGGTTGCCAATGCTGGTTGCCAGGAGTACTCGCAACAACTGCTCTTTCTGTGCTGGGTTCTCCACCAGGGCATATGACAGGGCTACTGCAGAGAACCAGTTGGAAAGCGCTTCACCACTGAACAGCCCACCACACAGCAGCTGACCTGTTGTCAAGCTTACCACTGAAATCAGCATAGGTACATCACAATGCAGTACTAGAAACCCTACACGGAGTAAGACTCATCTTTCCCATAGTGTCATGTGAGGGGGGGGGGGCAACACTGTCATTTTAGAAGAGCTGGCAGTGGCACAGGTGGTGGGTACATCCATGACTATTCCCAAACACCAGTAAGACACACACACATATACAAGATCACAACACAGCACTCTCTCTGCAGTCATGCGTACGATGTCTGACTGATGTTCACGGATAAATAAGCACATGCACACATCTGTGTGTGTGTGTGTGTGTGTGTGTGTGCAGCAGTGGTGGTAGTTGGGGGAGGGTGGTTTATGACACAGTCGGTATCTAGACTATATAGCACAAAATGGTTGGATTTGGAAGGAAGCAGTCATGAACTAACTGAGGTATGACCCTAACTTCTGCCTGATGGGACTGAGGAAAACTATAAAAAACCTCATCAGGATAGCTGATGTTGCGCCAAGATTTGAATCGATTATCTATTGAATGAGATGCTGGGGAACTACTGCCAAACCAAATTATCTGGTGATAAAGAAGACAGGGCACAGGGCAGGAAGTGCAGATAGCTGACTCACCATGCCAAACCAGTATGTGAAGATTATTTAGCCACTGCTGCACCAAAAATTTGATTCCAACGAGTGAGGAAAATACAGTGGATTTCAAAAGTTTTGAACCCATTTTCTGAAACTGCTTTCTATGCAGTTGTCATGTTTAATAACCAATGATAACATTAAGCAACACCTACTCTATTAACAATTTATAAGCACATATGCTTGAATCTATATCTATTGAATGAGATGCTGGGGAACTACTGCCAAACCAAATTATCTGGTGATAAAGAAGACAGGGCACAGGGCAGGAAGTGCAGATAGCTGACTCACCATGCCAAACCAGTATGTGAAGATTATTTAGCCACTGCTGCACCAAAAATTTGATTCCAACGAGTGAGGAAAATACAGTGGATTTCAAAAGTTTTGAACCCATTTTCTGAAACTGCTTTCTATGCAGTTGTCATGTTTAATAACCAATGATAACATTAAGCAACACCTACTCTATTAACAATTTATAAGCACATATGCTNAGGACTTGTTCCCTGAATTTTTCGGCCCTTAAAAATTCCACGACCTCCACCGGGTTTGAACCCGCGTACCTTGAGTCATGAGGTGGGAACGTTACCCCTAGACTACGGAGGCCGCTTAGGTACACATTTACTGAATGTAAGATACTTCTACTTACCATAGTTAACACATGAAAATTATTCCAGTAACCTTCCAACATTCTGGCTTTATCACAAATGTATTTGGCAGTTTCATCTATTGAGCAATTTTGGTATTTGATTCAACAAGCAACAAAAATTTGGAGGAGGAGATTCTGCAAACAAACAGGTGCAGTTTGCCTGCAATTACCACTGTCATTACATGTCATACCTTCTGTGCTAGAAGGCAGCAGGGTCTGCACAAGCTGAGATTGTCCAATTTCATTCTTGAAGAGGAAACACTGGAAACAGTAGAGCACCGAACAACGCAAACCGAATGGCTGCTTCTCATTCACCATTGACATCAAAAGGACCACAACAGCAGGTCTGCAAACACACATCATAGTTCCAGTATATGTGATCCTGAGTTCATACCTCATACCTACAATCACAAACAGCTGGCTACATAACCAAGGGCTTGCTGGACTGGATACACAAAGAATTAACATCAAATGCACTCAACCAATCACAGCACAGGGGGATACATCTCTTACAAGTATATCTTAACGCAAAACTCACATTCTTATGATACTGTCACATGTATGGAGTGACTATTTACAGAGTTTTGGATAACTGGATTTATTGACCACTTACAGGTCGTAACTACAAGTAAATATAGCAATAGTGCTATTTCCACATTTTACAAAATCACACTAAGCCTTTTCCAGGCCACAGTGTCTTTGCTAGTAGTTGCCTGGTAATGGTTTCTAATGATGGCTAGTCCTCTGCTTCTGGGCTCAAGGCCTCTCTGAACGATGTTCCTTTCCAACCTTCTTCCAACTGTCCCTTTTCTACACATCCTCCTGTGCAGAACTGACTTGGATGCCCCAGTCCTCTTCCTTATAACTCCTCGGCACAGCCCATGTAGACAACGTTCATTCTTGTACGCTAACCATTTAAACAGGAACGTGTTTACTAAGCTGTTCCCTAGCAGCGGAGATCTATTCTTATGAAGAATCTACTGCCTAGCAATGGGCGTTGTTCTGTTGCCTGTTTCATGACCGCTGCCCAGAAATGAATGTTGTTTGAGAGCTGTTCATTAGCAATGGCTGTTTCTCTGTCTCCACAGACCTTACAATCAAGGTTTCCAGAGCCAAGCAATAGCAATATAACCATTATATATATGTTATGGAGGAAATGCCTCTATCTAATTCCAGAAGATGTCATGGTATACAACCATTATATCTTGAGTGAAGTAAATGCCTCTTATTCCAGAAAATCGAGTCATGGCAGTATAACCAATAAATGGCATGAACAAAATACCTCTCTATAATTCCAAAACACTGAATTAGCCACACTGCACTGTTACAATCCAGATGACCAACAAAAACCTTAAATCTCAAGAGAGACTTCTGTTCCAAAACTGGGAACTGACAGCACTGGAAATCAAAATCTTACACTATTATGCCACATCATAACACATACAGTAGAACTTGGTTATAACGTCATCAAAGGGACCTAAAAATAGTGTCGTTATAAACGAATGTCGTTGTAACCCAAATGGGCACTTCCACAGTAGCCTTATGTCAGTCACGTAAAAATCTACCAAAAACCGAGTTAAAATGTTGCATTTTTTTAGTGAAATACGTAGTTAAGTACAGACTAACGTAACATTAACGTGGAATTGACCAAATGTGTAATATCAAAGACATATTACAGTGCTTTTCACTGACAGTACACACAATATTTCACGAATCAATTTAACTTTCTCTTCAATGCTTAAAACTTTCCTTTTCATTGCCATGTTTTTGCTACTGCACTTCTCTGGGTTTAGGCAGGAACACTATAGGGTAAGTAGACAATGTGAGGTCCTGTTAGACTAGATTCTAGGAAAGGAATGCAGTTAACAACCTGACGCGTCCTCTTGCACTATTCACGCAGTCCCACCCCAGACCCTTGTTTTCGCATAAAACCCACGCTCCTCTTGCAGCCCGCTGTCGTATTCTTCCAGGACAGTCACGTCAGCAAGTAGAGAAAGTGAGGGTGGGCAGACACATCGAACTTTCCCATGATATCAGAGAAATTCAGGAATGAAAATGACGTTACATAAGAGCTTGATGCATTTGTGCATGTTGTACTAAGCAAGGTATAAAAACAGTTGCTTTATGAGGAATCAGTTCGTACCATTGAATATTTGACGCAATAGACAAGGTGTCGCAGAAACTGATGTTGCTATAACCAAGTTTTACTGTATTTAAATTACATGGAATAAAATGTTGGGTTCTAAGCACTGGGCAGAAGGGTGCATGGCAGGTCTAGGAAGCCACACCTTATACACACAACTGATTCACTGGCAGAGAATTTTATATGACAGGCTGGTACACATGCAAAATCCAGCACCTGTTCCAAGTTCTCCAAGTGAAGTACCTGGGAGGATTTGATGGAGCCATTACATTGGCAAAATATTCCTGGTTTCCTTGGTTTCCCCGGATCACCTCTGCAACAGTGTTGATGGTTTCAGTAAGGACATCTGCTGGCACACCGCTGGCCATCAGAATGTTGCAGAGGGTCTCTAGCAACCCACAAGCCTTCATCGTCTTTTGTGAGGACATTGTCAGTTGAGCAGGATTCCCAGGAGGTACCAGCGTCCTGACTACCTGTGGCGCAAAGCAAAGGACCATGATCTTTTTCCATAATTTGTAACTAACAGGAATAAAAGAAGATATGAGGTTCTCAGAGCAGTGATTATGAAGGATACTAACTTTGGGGTGAGATCCCATGTGTCAGTGGCACAAGTTCACTGATGTTTCAGATGAACGTCGGTAAATTTCTACCAGACTACATGGCACCACATTCCAGAAGACAGTCCTCTTTATGGGTAAAAATACTGCTCAAAACATGTTGCTACAGAACAATGAAAACTTTCAGCTCTGCTATACACCACGTTCTTTCAACGTTTTGGCAAGGTCCCCATCACATGCAAGTGCAGGTAAACATGCATAAACACATTACCTTTCACAATTGTATGAAACATGAAAGTATGTACATGTTATTGAATACGTGCTGAAGTTGTGTGATGATAACACCATCTATCAAACATGGAACAACTACATTCTGTGTGAGTGCAAGAATATGTATACCAAACTGGTTTTTATAGCTAAGTTATGCTGATGCAGCATTCTGGACATGACACCTACTTGCAACATGCAGAGGATGTTGCTGACTTTCTGCGCTGACCAACCAGTGTCATCACTTTCAGGGGGTAAGTTGAACATAGGTGCTAATCGCTGAATGTAACTTCCTGTAATGATACAATTCAGACACTCATGAAAATCATTCATGTTTACATGAAGCATGTAGATCAATGACACAAACATATAATATTCAAGCAGTAAAAGCAATACAGTGCAAATGTATTTCCACAGGTTTCTGTGAATAACATCTGATGGCCTGTCTTACTCTGCCATGCAAGGCATATGCATATATACCATCAACAAATTTTCATTAAGCATGACATTGGAAAATTCAGTTGGGTATCTTCTGTCTTCTGGTCTGCTATCTGAAAAACAAACAGATTACAATATACAAAACTTTGATTTTGCCTGTAGTTTTGTATGGGTGTAAAACTAGACCTCTCTCACACTGAGAAGCATTCGCTGAGGGTCTTTGAGAATAGAATCTTGATGGAAATATTTGGACCTAAGAAGGGGGGAAGTGATAGGAGGTTGGAGAAAACTGAATAATGAGGGGACTCATGTCTTGTTCTTTTTACAAAATATTCATCATCATCATTTAGCAAAACAGTCCTTTCCGAGACATAGCCTTCCTTAGAAGATGAGACCATACCGACCGAGCGACCGCCGCTTGTCGACAAAGTTTAGTGCCAACTTTTGTAGATATAGGGTGTCATGTGGTCGGTGCAACAAATCCCCACAGCAATTAATTTCTGTTTTCTAGACTGCAGCCGCTATTTCCTTGAAATAGCTCCTCAATTATCATCACAAGGCTGAGTGGACACTGTTCCAGACCCACTACTTCGCCGAAAAAATCTGGTAGCGCCAGGAATCGAACCCGGACCTCTGGATCTGTAGCCAGGAACGCTGACCACTAGACCACAGAGGCAGTCTTCCATTACATATCACAACGAAAAATTTCTCACATAGAACAAAAAAACATTTCACAACGTACAAACGTACACATAGAAAGGTGCAGCATACAATTAATTTTCAAAAGAAAGAGGTGACAAAAATAAAAAAGCAAAGACTTTGGGGAAAATAGAGGCTTTTCATCCACTGATGTACATAAAATGGAAAGAATGCTAGAGGAAGCATATGACAGTTCCCCTACTATAAGCATGATTCAGGCTTTCTTAACCTCACAACTAGATGAAGCTGAATGAATACTTTCATTTTCTGGCAAGTTTGATCCTTGAGTATCTAGTGATCAGTACGTTAATATGTAAAGGTAAAGTTGTCCCTGTACTTGACTAATTAAGCACTACGCCATGAAGGCGTATGGGGGGAATGCATGTATAGATCCATATTTTCTTGACCTCAGCACCCAATGGAAGGAATGACAATTCTGAAGGTGTATGGACCAGTAACTGATCAAGGGATTTGGAGAAACAGAACCAAAAACTGATAAAATTACATAAACTCCTGCCCTGGTAGTAAATACTGAAAGGAGTACGATGGAGTGGCTGGGACATGTGATTAGAATGAATCAAATAAGGACAGCTAAGGAACTTTTTTTAAAGTAAGCCAGAATGTGGAAGGAAACTGGTAAGGCTCTTACTGATATGGTTGGAAGATGCAGAGAATGATTTATGAGAGCTGAAATTGAGGAGGAGTACAGAAAAATGAGCGTCACAAAAGATGCCAAGGTTCTTACAAGACCATAAAGCCAAGGAGTAAATATTTCCCTGAGATGGATGGGTAGGCCAACAGTTATTCTGAATCCAGTGCTGACATGCCTGCTGGCTGTCCATCACTGCACTGGCGAAGCTATCATGTCTGCAATTCAAGACAAACCAACAAACACAACTGTGTCTGTACCAAGAACCTAGCTGTACATGCCATTAACTAACTCACTTCATGCAGCAAAATCCTTCTTTAGAATCAAAGAGTCAGTGAGAAATTCACAATTTTTATGGAACCCAGAGGTTTATTACTATGTAAGATTTGAGGCTTTCACGGCGGTGACTATGAAGAAAGCAGTCTTCTGGGATTTGGCACCGTGTATATGTGGTGTTAACCGACGTTNAGATGGGGGCGATACGTTCCTCCGAAACGTCGGTTAACACCACATATACACGGTGCCAAATCCCAGAAGACTGCTTTCTTCGTTTATTACTATGTTTATAAAAGTCTGAGAAATCATCCACTACCTTCTTTAAAGAAATTTTGGTTTGAATTGTTATTTCTCAGCAGATTCAGCATAAGCAGCAAACAGTCCTCCACAACAATGCCTCCATCTGAATAGCCCTCCTCTGAGATCACATCGAAGAGGCGATCAAATGCGCTCTGGAAAGCCACAATCTTCTGAATGTTGGCGTTGCCTTTTGTAAGCTGTACCAACAGCAGCAGTGCCTGTAACAATATCCTGACATCTCACTCTCCACGCTTAGAAAGCACTGCCATGCCCCTATACTGGCATTTCACCTGCTGGACAAGTCGTTTTTGTCAGAACATGGATTCTGAATGTTCAAATAGTACTGAGATGATATGCTTTCCTGCATCTTCCTGAGCATACAGTTAGTTCCATGACCATCAGTCAACTGCTGACAGGGCCAGGTTTACGTAAAAGAGAAAGTAAACGTAAAGTTACCCCTGTGCTTAATGTATTAAGCACTATGTCATGAAGACACACGGAGAAGTGGAAGTACAGCTCTACCAATCTTGACCTCGGCACTAGATGGAGGTGAGTGGTTAGCTTCATGCCCCATCTCCTTTACCCCCATGGAAATTGTCCCTGGTACTCATTGCATAAGAGGCCGGGTGGGCCCCAGAGCAGTTCTGGATGCTGCAGAGAAGAGGCAAATCACTCTCTGTCAGTAACTGAACCCCAGCTGCCCACCCTGTAGCCCATCGCTATATCATCCAAGCTATTCAGGCTCCTGCCAAATTCACACACACTATATATATATATATACTACAGCTTAGGTGCTTGCAATTTGAGAGGCCTCAAAATACCAAGAAGCAAATTCACTCACAAAACAACACAACATTCTCTTGTGAAACTCAGAAGCTGCATGACAAGTATAGCAGTTGAAAATAAACTGGGGAACAGCTTGGCTCCTTATGTTGCAGTCGTGCAACTGTGACAATGTATTTGTGCAGTTCCACATACACACACATAAACGTCATACCTATCTTTTGAGGGAGCAAGAGATCCACCTTTTTCATAGTACAAGCATTTGTGAACTTTAATCCAGCCCTGATTACTGATGTGCATAATTGGACCAGGGAACAGACAAACAGATGCAGAAGGTTTTGAGAAAGGAACTGTGATTATTTGGAACCTGTCTCAACTCACATCATTTCTGATCACTTCCCGGCTGTCCCCCAGAAGCTCCATGAGTTTTGACACTCCCATTGGACTCGCAAGGATTATTTCTTGTATTTCTTTTGGTCTGCAAATACAAAATGAACATTTCCCATTCAACTAGCCAAAATATTACACAGAAGTGAAGGAACGACAAAAAGCTAACATAAATACATTTACTGTCCCTCTCAGTATCTGTGTGAATTAAAATTCTACAATCTTTTTGCAGGTGTGTATGAATCCCAATTAGTAGCATGGTTTTTGTAATTTCTTGAAGTGAATGCTGTGACAGCACAACTCACTTATACATAAGAAAGAGATGTCTGGAGCTGTACACTCAAAATAGACATTTCTGGAACAATACGCAAGACATGCCACATCCTCTAAAATTTGGTGAACTTGTCTCTGAGGAGGGAGCTTACTAACACATTCAGTGCTGGGTGTTCTCCCAGTTCAGGACATTAGCTGTTCATAAATAAATGAACAGTTCAGGCCATCAAACATCTGTAAATAATGATTCAGGCCATTGAAAACGCGAGTGGGGGGAACTCAAAGAAAAACAACAAACATACAAATAAAAAATCTAATATCTGTACCTACCTGTTATCAAGTAATGATGTTAATAATTTGACTGCAGGCCACCGGACATGAAAGTCATACTCTTCTAAAAAACCCAATACCAAGCCCACATTATCAGGCTGTTTGATGAATATCTCTGTGAACTGTTCTCCTATGTTGCCCACAGAAGAGAGGGAAAGGCTTGTGTGTTCTGAAAGGCAAAGGTGCACATTTCACCTGTGTGCACTGATGACAGAATAGAAATTGCTTTCTGAGTGAGAACGAATGGGAAACTATAACACTTTAACACACATCATGATTAATATTGTTTGGGCCAACTAATTTACAGAGCCCTTCTAGACTAGCTGAATACAGTTTTCCCAACTGAGCAAAAACATGAAAGTGGCAGCTCTTTTACATGAATATAACACATCCTATGACAGAGAAAAGGATTTAAATGCAACAATTTAAATTTTGTCAAAATATTATGAATTACAAATAAAATCATCAGACCATCATTAGTTTCCAGTCACACATGAACATGAATTCATGACACTTGCTACAGACATTATCTAACAGCAGTGAAATATGGATAGAAAAAAGAACTGACGAGGGGGGGCTGATATCAGCAGAAATGTATTTCATGGGGGGGACTGCGAGATACACCCATTCAGACCTCAAAAAAGATGAAATATTATGATACAATTATAAATTTATATAAAATATGCAAGAGATTGAAAAAAAAAAAAAGTGTTTTCTGTGACTTTGGAATTAAATTTTTAAATCATTTTAGGCTTCAAAGTTGTCAATACTGCTCACCTTCATCTTCGAAGCTCTCTGGGGCTGTAATGTTGCAGAGTGTGTCTAGTGCATACCCCACAATTTCACAGTCCCTCCGATCCATTTCCAACACTTGACATAGAGCACCCATTCCCTGCGCTCCAACTTCAATGCGAAACTTTCGCGACAAGGCTTTGAGTGCTCGGCATGCATCTCTCCGGTCATCCAGCAAAGTTGAAGACTGCACACGATCTACCAGCCTCTCAACCTTAAAAAGGTTATGCATTATAGAACACAATCATAACACTGTCCATAACAGTCTGAATACTTTTATCAAATATAATAATTTCCAAAACTGAATAATGTGTCACACAAAAATCCTTGAACTCCAAATTCATTTACCTCGTTGATAAAGAAAGATAAATTTAAAAGAAATACTTTCTGCTAAAAGTATGACAGTTATACTATTATGTTTGCAATTAATGCAATCTTTATCTCATGTTTGATTGGATGGATTAAATAAGAATAGATACTGAGGACTTGGGTAGTGAGGTGGATCAGACTGGTAAAAATGTGCCCAATGGTGGGCTTCGATATTTACTGTGAACCTTCAGGTTTCACCAGCTAAGTGGTACTGCTAATCATAAGATCCAGTGTAAGCAAATGCTGTTAATACATCTGGCATACTTCCAGTTTCTGAGAATTAAACTGCGTTTAATCATAACAAACTTATGTTGTGGGTTTGTATTGCAGTGAGATTGCAATACGATAAACAATAAAGAAAACAGCATTTATCGTACATACAAATCTGTCTGTAATTAAAGCTGTTAAAAATAATCACTTCACGAGTCTGTGAAGTTTGAAGAGCCACTCTGTACAACATGCATAGCTCATTATCACTTGTATAAATAAATTAACTCAATTATCTGCAACCTGATCGTGGCCAAATAAGTTTTAACGTGCACAACTGTCATGGAATTTAGACGTTGAGCTTTCATTAGTTGTTTCGACATTATGTTCAGTATAGAAAACCATAGATGGCAATATGTGAAAAGCACAGAACATAATTTATTACATACTGTTTCAGCTCCTGTGGGCTGCGACCCTTCTTGTGGTGTTCCAAGGACCGACTTCAACCCACTCTTAAAATATTCCATGTTACTTTTTGTTGTCTGCTGTACTACACGTCATATTTCCGGCTAACATGCTACGGCGTAACAATTGACTGCTATAATCCGAAATATGTATCATGAATACCAACTGTGGCTGAACAAAAATGATACATTGTCAACGTTATCGCTGCGGTGAGGCTGCAGATTAACTTCGTTTGGAATTGGACGCCGTGCATTCTGGTAGAAGTTACCGACATTCCCCCATAAGGTCGATTAACTTCTACCAGACTCAACGACGTCACATCCCAGTAAATAATAATCCTAAGAAATGTAAGTAGGATTTAAGGTGGAGGATATCTTAGAATATACTCAATAAGCAGTCGCGGAGAGCCGACAAGGGGCGATCCTCCAGCCGGGGGTTGGGCGTGGGGTTACAAACGCCTCACCGTAAAAAGTAAATTTGTTACAAAGTGTCATCAAGGGACTCGTATTTGGATAGATTCTCTGGATAAACGACCTAAGCGAATGAAAATGGATAAGAGACTTAGTATGTGGAATGTAAAGTCTATATTGAGCAGGTTCGCTCATGACAGTTGCGACAGAAATATCAAAACGAGAAGTTAGATTTTGTGGGTGTACAGGAGGTCAGATAGGACAGTGGTGGCATCAATCCAGCAGACAAATACAATATGAGAGGGTAGAGTTTCTTAGTGATAGGATGTCGTATATAACATTAAGAGTTAGCTGGCGTGATATCGTTGTTCTGAATGTTCTTGCCTCAACAGAGGATAAAATTGATGAGATTAAGGCCCGTTTATATGAGGAACTAAAACTTGTATTCGATATTTTCCCCAAATACCGAATACAAATTTTGTTAGATTTCAATGACAAAGTAGGTAGACAGGATATTTTCAAACAGACCATTGGAAATAGAGCTTACACGAAATTCGGATGTTTCCTGATGGAAAGATAATCAAATTGACCATATTTTGATGCATAGGAAACGACATTCACGTGTCTTGATGTGTGATATGAGCAGACTGCGATACTGACCACCGTTGACCACTATCTGGTGGTGGTAAAAAGTTAGGGAGAGACTGGCAATGAGTAAACAAACTTCTTTTCCGTGTAATTCTAGCTACCAATCAGTCCAGAACATTTTGTCTTCTCGTCCACTGACTAAAAACGTAAAAATTAGAATACACAAAACTGTAATTTTGCCTGCTGTTCTGCATGGGTGTGAAACTTCATCTCTGACATTAAATGAGGAACATAGACTAAGGGTGTCTGAGAACAAGGTTCTGAGGAGAATATTTGGACCAACGAGGGATGAAGTGAGGAACTGTATGATGAGGAGCTTCATTAACTTCTGCTCTTTGCCAAGTATAATTAGAATGATCAAGTCAAAGAGTATGAGATAGGCAGGGCATGTAGCATGAATGGGGTGAGGAGGAATGCATGTAGGGCTTTGGTGGGAAAGCCAGATGGATAGATGCAACTAGGAAGACCTAGAAGTAGGTGGGTGGATACTATTAAGATGGACTTTAGAAAGAGAGGACAGGGTGGTATGGACTGTATTGATCTGGTTGAGGACAGGGACCAATGGAGGGCTCCTGTGAACACAGTAATGAATTTTCGGATTCCATAAAACGCTGGTAAATTCTTGAGTAATTGCATAACTGGCGGCTTCTCAAGAAGGGCTCAGGTCCATGTAGTTAAGGTTTGAGGTTCTCATGGTGGTGACTAGGGGTACGGTCTCCAGGGTTGTTACACTGCCTAGTTCGGTGAGAACCCTCTCATAACCACCATACATTACTACTCTGATGTTCGTACTTTTCCTGCCGTTGCCGTTTTCGCTCAACAACAAAACTGCAGTGGCTGATTTTGTTGTTACGAGTACCGTCTTCTGGGATATAACGCCGTATTGCCCGTTGAAAGTAAACCGATGTTTCGGAGGAACATATCGCTTCCATCTTCATGGTCGAATAAGTCCTGCAAGATACCAGCGTGAAAGAAGGTGGAAAGCCGACTTACCATTTGCTTTCCCGAGGGTAACTTGCTTGGCTTATTCCTCGACCCTGAAGATGGAGACGATAGTTTCTTCCGAAATGTCGGTTGACTTTCAACGGACGACAAGCACCGTAGGGAGAACATCAAATGCTATATAATTTTGTTGTTGCTAAGCGGGAGAATAGAGTTTGGTTCTAGAGAACGTCCCCAATTGGTGGAGAACGCAACCAATAGCAAGTTGCGTCACATATTCCGATCAGCTGATGGAAAACGATTGCCTGGCGGCACTGCATTCGTGAAGTGAAGCTGTCAGTAGCAAGTTCTGGTCAGGGGGGACGGTTAGAAGCGTTTGAAAGAAATCTGTTAGTGTAATTAACGACAGTCTTTGTCTTATGACAGGACCTTAAAGATCACAGTTTTATAAAAGAAATTCCGTTTGTGTATACAGTTACGAAGTAATCTTTTTGCGCTATACGACCTACGTTTTTCGTAACATTTCATAGCCGATTTTAACAATGATGAAAGGCGATCATATTGAACATTTCTTGGAAGATTCTTCTCGTCGTGATACAAGACTTCACGGTGTATTCAATAAAATTTCTGATATTTGGCAACATCAGAATTCTGTATCCAGGCAGAAAATGTCAACAGAAGTCATTGAGTCCATTCTTCCGGAAAGGTTCAACGTCCCAATTGCCGGCCGTAAGTATTAATGACACACACACACACACACGTGTGAATATATATGCTGCCTTCAAGTTTCAAATTTTCGTATTTTTTTACAGTATATGAAATAGAGTGATGTAGTGCATGTATATTCATTAGGGATTATGCGGCGTAAGATTTTATCAGCCACATATTCCTAGTCCCCGCCCCCCCAAACCGGCTTAATGATATTGACTCGATTTTATATTGGAATATAAAAATGTACAAATTGTTGGAGAAAACAGAGGAAGAGGAATATGAGAACAAAGAACTTTCCGGCGCCTGCGCGCAGACGCTACCTCCCCGAAATAACGATTTTGATTTGGCTCAGCTGTTAGCGTTTCCAGCTGATCGATTTGAACTGGGTTAGCTTATGTTCTGTTGTGGTGCGTGATTTAAATAATTTGTGGTTAATGTCCCTATAAAGAAACAAGATAATTAGGTTCGTAGCAAAGATATTTTTTGTACAAATAGGGGTGTATAATTGAAATTATTTTGTATTTAAATCGTCAAAACTCCAGGAGTTTTGTTTATTCCATTCTATACCTAGCAGAGGGTTAAATTCTGTGCAGTACAGACATATGTACAGACGCGCAAAGTGATATGCAAAAATGCATTTATTTTCAGCATATGTTTACAAATCGGCTCCTTTGGTGCCATGAATGGTGAACTATTTTCCACTCTATTTTCGACTTTCATAATTCGGCATGAAGTATTTTTCTAATGAGGTTCTTGTTATAAATGTAGGAACATTAGTTCTATTTCAGTTCATTTACATTTGAGCTTTTACTTCCATAAAAGAATTCCGTAATTGCGTGTTGTAATTGTTGTTATATTCCAGAGCAAGAACATCGTAAGTACAGAAATGGTTTCCTGTATTTGTCTTTATATTAAGAGACTTGTAGAGAGGTGATGTCCTGATGGCTTCGTTTTTGTGGAAATAAAGTGACATGGACTTCCGTTTAATTTCTCAAGAGAACGGAATACAGTTTTAGTGTTTCCATCATTGTACTGGGCCTAAATTAGTCTAATGGAGGCAACTGAGAGGCACCTTGTTAGTTTGATGACGGAGGTTAAGTAGTGTCACATAATTTACATGCGGGAGTTGATCGTGGTTTGTTTGAACCGGCGGCGGCCGGTCTGACAATCACGTATAGTAACTACGTCACGGTATTTCAGTGACGGACAGGAAGGACTGATGCAATTGTTGCGGCTAGAGAAATATTCAAGGAAATTGCGTATGCAGGGGTTGACACGTAGCCATCGAACCACAGGCGGGGAAAATTGTAAATATTGTGAAACAGATGTCTCAATCACGCTTTTGCTGCATAGGGATGCAATCGCATTTTCAGATTCAGAAAGAAATTTAAGCAAGAGAGAGCGCCTTGGGCGATAGTTTTAACTCTAGCAAAGTTAGCGACACAAATAAGTGATAGAGGTCAACGAAAAATACTTCCTGCACAAGCTTGTCACCCAACAAAGCCCATGCGTGATTCCAATTTAATGTTGGTTCGGTTGACGACAAAGAGAAACAAACAAAAAAAAAAACCTGCTTTGATGCCTGAAGACACTCCCCAGTAGCCACGAAGCTAGAACGGAAAGAGCCGAGGCTGAGCCGAACGCCTGAATCGTCACGTACACCAACGGGTGGTTGGGAAGGGGGATAAAGCTCTATAAACAGCTGTGTTTGGCATTAGTCTAGAAGCATCGGCCGAAGAGGTAGTATCGGTGTATGTGGTTTTGTACGTGACAATGGAGGTGTTACCGTGTCCGGTTAGCGTATATTTCTCCAGCAATCGAGGTAGGTTAAACGTTACACTCTTTGTAAGAACGATTTTACGTTTATCGACAATAAACTGATAAGTCTTCGGTGGGTTTTGAAACACATCGTGTTGGAATTTGAATTTGTTTCCATCGTGTAGGGGAGGAAAGGTTCCTTCCTATCTTAACCGGTTCCATTAGAAGAGCATGTTGGATATGGGGCTCTCATAGCAGATACATCGAAGATAGTGTCGTATGGGATGTGACACAGTGTAGTCCGATAGAATTTCACTGGGGTTTTGGTAGAACTTTACCTGGCCGAAGAGTAAGCCAAGCAAGAAGCAAGTACATCAGTCCCCGGAAGATTGGGGCAGTGCGTTCCTCCAGAACGCTGAACTACCAGACTACACGGCGTCACATCCCAGAAGATGCTGGCCTTAATAGCAACTGCTGTTAGAACGCGAAATTTAACAAAAAACCGGTGTAATGTGAAGAAGTCCCTGAAACGATGACGAAATCTGTTCATTAGACATATGAGAAGGACACACGTGTGCAGTCATCGAAATTTTAGGACGCAGCAGTGTAGAAAGAACAAGGTGTTGAGGAGAATATTTGGATCGAAGAGAGATGAAGTGACAGGAGGTTGGAGAAAATTGCATAATTAGGAGCTTCGTAACTTGTACTCTTCTCCAAATATAATTAGAATGAGCAAGCCAGTGAGGATGAGATGGACAGGACATGTAGCACGAATGGGGGAGAAAATGAATGCGTATAGGATATTGGTGGCAAAGCCAGAAGGAAAGAGGCCACTGGGAGGACCAAAGCGTAAGTGGGTGGACAATATTAAAATTATCTTATAGAGATAGGAGGGGATGGTATGGATTGGATTGATGTGGCTCAGGATAGGCAAAAGTGGAGGGCTCTTGTGAACAGTAATGAACCTTCGGGTTCCATAAAATGCTAGGAAATTCTTGAGTAGCTGCAGAATTTGCGGCTCCTCAAGAAGGGCTCAGCTCCATAAGCAAGCAAGCAGTGTAGGAACCTTCCCTTCCTTACATCCGACAGGAAGATGGAATTTACGAAACGTCGGGTTTGCAGAAACAAAAAAGAAACTTTATTATGGACGATGCACAGGATGATTATCACCGCTCTCAGTGACTCGGGCGTGTATACCGCAGAATTGGAAATGACACCGTCCAGGCGTATGTCTGGAACGACTGCAGAAAAACTCTAAACTATTGTCAGTAGAGCCGGTTACCTGACCGAGATGGTTCTCGAATATGTTAGAAGCAAGTGACAGTGCTCCAGCCTTTCTGTTTAAGGTTACAATCGGCCTGTTGCTCTGATTGCAGGTGGGTATGTTGACTGCGGGCCTGATGACGGTGAGGAGGAGGACGGGGCATGTCAGGCCCTTGCCCGGCGACTGGAAGATGAACTGAGGGCTGCAAAATCGGCCCAGTTGTCTTGTGGCGAGGTGCTCCTGCCCGCCGACCTGTTGCCTCGTATAGCCCGAGATGTGCTTCGGATGGCCGAGAACGAGCCCTGCGGACTGAGGTTATTAGTTCAATACCTATTTGACACACTTTATATTACCTTCTGGGTTACCGATATGATACTTCATAGTCTGGTAGGTGGTTACCAGTATTCGGATGAACGTACTACCTTCATACCCTGATGATCGAGGCGGCATGTTCCTCCGAAACATTGGTGTCAACCCACCAGACTTGATGTGGCCCAGGAGCTATGACCGCACATGTTACATGGAGATGCTTTTCAATAAAGAGGGAAAGCTACTGACATGTCTGTAATGTGACGTTCTTGTTGCAGGGGGTGCACGCTGTTCATCAACTTTGAGAACGACCATGTATGCAGGCGGATAGGGATGGTGAAGTGTGATCCCAGCACAGTGTCCACGTTTGAGCTGTTCCTCACACTGAAACAAGACAGCAGTTCCTGGCACTCACTGCTGCCACAGTTTCTCAAGTGAGTTCCATTAACCTGGTTCCGTACCCCAGTCATGGAAGGTTTGTGGGACTCAAGCTAACAGTGCCCTGTCATGTTACAGGAATCTAACGAGGGGCGGCACGATAATGATCAGCCCAGGTTTCACGCTCGAGAAGAAGAAGCTGTATCGGAGCTACCTGGAGTAGAGCCCATGTCCACCGAGCCAATCACGAGAGGCAAGACTGACAATCTCCTCTGCCATGGTGGAGGAGTTCCATAACTCAGGGCCAAACTGTTGCTTGGCATTCTGGGAATCTTGTTTGGACAAGGTCTTTGGAACTGTAAAGTTAGAAGTTGGCATAGCAAAGTGACAAGATAAGCTTACAAGAGGACCTCGAGTCAAGATTTCATAAATGTATCTCAAAGTATATAATAGGCTGGTTGTCTTCCATTGTGCTCATTTCGATGCAGGATGTAAGACTGGCACTTTTTAGAGTACCTGCTATACTTGTACCGGTGTCATGTGTATGAGCGTGGTAATTGTGTTCTGAATTTTTTTATTTTTATTAAATGTTTTGTGATTTGTGTGTGAATGGACTAAAGGGGATGTTATGTCCCTTCATTAGTGTTATAAAGGGGGTGTATCTACACCCCATATATTTCTTTGTGATGGCTGCATTTTAGTTGTTTGTCTCTTTTTTTATGAAAACGTAGGAAGAGTAGAAGGAAAATTTTCTGACTTCACTGTTAGTTTTTCCTCTTCATTCTTCAGAACAACTGTAACTTTTTCTAGTTGACTGAGCAGCCTGTTTGATCTGGCTGTTGGTCCGTCTGGCTGTAGCTTCACTAGATTTCCTCTGACACCAAAGATGAACATTTTGGGTGCCATGATCTCATAATAGAAACTTCAGATACTGGCATATGACATTTGTAAATGCAGCTATACTGAGGCCCCTGAAAGAAGTCCCTTCGATGGTGGGGGTCAGCTGCAGGGGATACAGGGAAGCATAATAGCTTGAGGGGGGAATGGAGGATGCTTAACCATCAGACCTGTTTCTGTGGCCTCAGTACAAGGCTCGATATAAAGAACTATATGTGCATTGTGCTAGTTCAGGAAGCTATGTCTTGAAGTGTAAGTGCGGGGGATGTCCAACTTTGTTTTCTTGTTAATATTCGTGATTGGCTAATCATGCAATATTACAGACATTGGACAGTTCCCCTCTGCATGCTATGTCCACAGAGAACGGCCAATTCAACAAATACTCTTCATTGTGATATGTACATGTGCCCTCTGGAGTGTGATGCAGGGGCACTGCTAGCAGGATACATGCTCTTCTTGGCGGGCCTCCATTTGATTTCTCCTCTTGAGCAGTATTCTTTGTCATAAATTTTATATAATAATAATAAATTCAATATCTTATTAGTCTTTCATGTACATATTATCAGAGTTTAATGTTGTAATAGATTAATAAAATTTATGCTTTTTGTACTCTGTCAATTGAGTGAAGAAAACATAAAAAAAAACGAACTGAAAAAAGACTAAATAAAAGCAGTTGCAGAAAAGATCTTTGTGTGCATATCTTTCCACGAGCCATAACCCTACATTTTTAAGTTTTCACAGTTGTTAGTATCCTGTGGGTGTTTGAGTTGAGAAAGATGCTTTTGAGAGGAACTTATTGGTTCCATTTGTATCAAGTGAGGACTGAAGATGGCATGAGAATATTCCTCCGAAACGATACTGCAATCTAGGAGTGTGTGAATCCAGCATTTGTTATAGTGGGGAACTGAGCAAATTGGTTGAAGCAGTAACACTTGACTTATCTGAGTTGTCTGACTGGCACAATGACATCCTCAGTCCATTATGGTAAATGTTAGGTCAGTAGTTCAAATTAGACTAAAAATTAAATTCGCTTACTGGGGGGTGGAGTCCAACTGGGTCCACTTGGCATGGTGGCCATTGATTGGCCTATTGTAGCTTGCCCTGGGTGATAATGATGATAGAGAATTTGGTGGAATGAAGATTGGCAGGGGAAACCGAAGTACTTGGAGAAAACCCGCCCCAGAGACACTTTCTCCACCACAAATCCCACTTGACCAGACCCGTGAAAGAACCCGGGCCGCGGGGTGGGAAGCCAGCGACTAACCTCTTCAGCTATGGCGCGGCCTCAAATTAGGTTAAATTGCTGTCCTTTCACTGACCCTACTGTTAGATGCTGTACTGAGTAGTTGGCAGCGTCGTTAAACCATAAATACCTGGGGGAGGTGGAACAGGTGACTCAAGAACGATTTACAAAGGCAAACAACTAAACAGAAACTGTGGAGTCGATGTTTTCAGTAGAAGGGATGAATGAGACATGAGAGGGGTAGATTTGTCATGAAGGGGAGAGAAGAGCCGCACCATAGCTCAAGCGGTTAGTCGCTAGCTTCCCACCGCGGAGGCCCGAGTTCGATCCCGGGTGTGGTCAAGTGGGATGTGTGGTGGGCAAAGTGGCGCTGGGGCAGGTTTTCTCCGAATACTTCGGTTTCCCCTGCCAATCTTCATTCCACCAATTGCTCCACATTCACCCTCACCTATCATCTGGGGCTGGTACAATAGGCCAGAAGTGGCCGCAGTACAAGGGACTTAGTCCCACCCCACTAGCATTAAAAAGAAAACTGTGGAGTGGATGTTTTCAGTAGAAGGGATGACTGAGACACTAGTGAGCGATGTCAGAGGGGTAGATTTGTATTATTTCCAAAATAAGTCATGAAGGGGAGAGAACTAAGTGGTACAGAAAGCCATCCACAGGGCCTTGTGTACATAACCGCATCCTAACTGTGACATCCGACGTTCCGACGACGGTGATGGGGAATATTACGAGTATATTCTGGGATGTGAGCCGGTCACAGTAGCCGAGCGGTCTAAGGCATGCACTGTCTTCGCTCGCTTGGAAGCCGGGATCGTTGGTTCGAATCCCACTCAGGGCATGGATGTTTGTGTGCGTTTTTCTGTGTTTGTCTACAGGTAGAGGCCTTGCGACGAGCTGATCACCCGCCCAAGGAGTCCTACCGAACGTTTAAGATCTAGTAAACCGAAGTGAAACGGAGTTTCATGGAGGTAGGCCTAGGCCCAAATTGGGGCTGTAGCGCCACAGAAAAAAAATTCTGGGATGTGACGCTGTGTAGACTCATAGTTCGTTACGAACGGTTAGAAGGAACGTACTCTTGCATCTTCAGGGTTGAAGACTTCTCTATTAAATCCTGAAGATGCAGGCCTCAGGTTCTATCAGACTATACGGCATCAAATCCCAGGACAATAATATTCATGTTACAATTTCCGGTTCACAGCCATTGCCTGCTGGGCACCCCTGGTAGCAGAATTACATAAACCGACTAGGCTTTACGTAACACGTGCCGTCGAGAGAGAGAGCATTGACTCCCATCGCGTATTACCAGCGGAGAAGGATCAGGAAGGAAGCAGTGGTACAGATTGAGTATGCTACTCCTGTGAGGGGCCAAGGAGGATGGGTCTGTTTGGACAGGGATGTTTGTCAAAATCTGTATTCTGAAGTTACGCGGACAAGGGAGTCTGCATTGAACATTACTGCCCCGCGTACTCTGTGAATGTCCTTGCGGCCTAACTGTGGTCACAGTCTCACCATGTAATCACATGAATCTAACCCTCCTGGCACGGCGGTTATCGACGCTACGTTCCAACCATGAAAAACGAGAATTTCAGAGCTCAGCTTCCCTCGATGGTGCCTACGAGGAGATGTGACGGCGTGTAGCCCGTTAAAAATTTAGTAACACATAACTGCCTTAATCTTGAGGGTCGAAGAATGAATCAGCCAAACAAGCAGATGCTTACTTCTATCTGTCACTGAAGATGGAGGCAGCATTTCCCACCGAAAGTCTGTAAACATCTACGATCTACACGACGTGACATTCCAGCAGACATATTCGAAAACTTCCCTAATATACGTATATGTTTTAACATTTAACAAGAAGCTTTCTTCGCTTTAACTTATTTATGGTTTACATTCTTTAAGGTGCATTCATAAAGCCAAAGATTGCATAATTACTTACTTACTCATGGAGCTGAGCCCTTCTGGAGGAGCCGCAAATTCTGCAGCTACTCAAGAATTTCCCAGCATTTTATGGAACCCAAAGGTTCATTACCGTGTTCACAAGAGCCCTCCACTTCTGCCTATCCTGAGCCACATCAATCCAATCCATACCATCCCATCCTATCTCTATAAGATAATTTTAATATTGTCCACCCACCTACGCCTTGGTCTACCCTGTGGTCTCCTTCCTTCTGGCTTTCCCACCAATATCCTATACGCATTCCTCGTCTCCCCCATTCGTGCTACATGACCTGCCCACCTCATCCTCCTTGACTTGAACATCCTAATTATACTTGAAGAAGAGTACAAGTTATGAACCTCCTCATTATGCAGTTTTCTCCAAGCTCCTGTCACTTCATCTCTCTTCGGTTCAAATATTCTCCTCAACACCCCTGTTCTCAAACACCCTCAGTCTATGTTCCTCCCTTAATGTCAGCGACCAAGTTTCACACCCATACAGAACCACATGCAAAATTATAGTTTTGTATATTCTAATTTTTATGTTTTTGGACAACAGGCGAGAAGACAAAAGGTTCTGGACTGAATGACAGCAAGCATTACCCGAGTTCAATCGCCCCTTAATTTCCTCCTGAATCAGGTTTCGATCTGTTATCGTTGTTCCAAAATATCCGAACTGTGCCACATTTTCAAAACATCTGTTTCCTATCTTCATATCATGATTTTGCCCTTCATTTTGGTGACGAGACAGCAATATGTACTTAGTTTTCTCTGAGTTTACTTCTAGACCAACCTCTTTACTTGCGCCAATTAAAGTTTGTGTGTTTTTCTTTATGGTATCTACATTATCACCCAGTAGA